TTTGAATTTTGGTGGGTCACTTTAACCGTTCTAGAGTTATGCCCCTTTACAAATGGAATTATTGCTGAATTTTTCATTTCCATTCTCTAACTTTAGTTTGTCTCAACCAAATGTTATGAAACTTACACACGATGCTTATTACCACAAAACACAGATCAGGATAAAATGTTGGTGGTGTCACTTTAACTGTTCTAGAGTTATGCCCTTTTCAAATGGAAAAATTGCTGAATGTTTCGTTTCCGTTCTCTAACTTTAGTTTGCCTCAACCAAATGTTATGAAACTTATACACAATGCTTATTACCACAAAATACAGACCAAGTTTGAATTTTGGTGGTGTCATTTAAACAGTTCTAGAGTAATGCCCCTTTACAAATGGAAAAATTGCTGAATTTTTCATTTCCGATCTCTAACTTAAGTTAGCCTCAACCAAATGTTATGAAACGTATACACAATGTTATTAACACAAAATACAGATCAAGTTTGAATTTTGGTGGTGTCACTTTTATTGTTCTAAAGTTATGCCCCTTTACAAATGGAAAAATTGCTGAATTTTTCGTTTCCGTTCTCTAACTTAAGTTTGCCTCAACCAAATGTTATGAAACTTATACATAATACTTATTACCACAAAACTCAGATCAAGTACAATTTTGGGTAGCATCACTTTTACCGTTCTTCAGTTATGTCCCTTTATAAATTTATATGATATGCAAGCGGGGGCATCATCTGTGTCCCATGGACACATTCCCCATTTATTTATTTTTTCCTTTTTTTGCCTATTATCTTGAAAACTGTAATAGATAAATACAAAACTTTAAAAAAAATTATCAGCAGGATAAGATCTACAAATATGTCAACATGACTGAAATTGTCAGTTAACTCTTAATAGAATTATTACCCTTTAATGATGATTTTTACTAAAAAGTGGCCATTGAACAAGATGCAGGTGAGAGACACAGGCTCTTTAGAGCCTCTAGTTAGATTAAATCGTAGCACAAAAAAGATGTTTCTCAAAATCTAAATTTTGACAAAAAAATTTCACCAAAACTTGCATAAAACGTTATAAAGGGGTATAACTCGAGAACAGTGAAAGTGATGCAACCTAAATTGGAACTTGATCTGAGTTGGGTAATAAGCATTGTGTGTAAGTTTCATAACATTTAGTTGAGGCAAACTAAAGCTAGAGAACGGAAACGAAAAATTCAACAATTTTTCCATATAATTAAAGGGACATATCTCCAGAACGATAAAAATGATGCCACCCAGATTCGAACTTGATCTGTGTTTTGTGGTAATAAGCATTGTATATAATTTCATAACATTTGGTTGAGGCAAACTAAAGTTAGAGAATGGAAACCAATTTTGGGACGTACAGACGGACAAGGGTAACAGTTAATGTCCCTCTGCTATTGTCCATTTAACTAATTTTCATGGTTCAGCGACTGCTTGATAAAACTGTACAGTTTTGTTGTCATGAATTTCTCATTTATTATGAGTAATTGGATAACTATATTTGGTATATGGAATCCTTAGTTTGCAAAGTCTACATGTCTGTCAAATAGAGTTCACCTGACCATGATCTCATTTCATGGATCAGTGATCAAGGTTAAAGTTAATTGATTAGGTCTGTTTCTCAGATACTATAAGCAGTAGTCCAACTGTATTTGGTGTATGGAATGATTGTAAAGTGTACATGTCTGTCTGGCAGGGTTCATCTGACTGTGACCTCATTTTCATGGTTCATTGGTCAATTTTATGCTTTATGGTCAAATTAATTTAGAGACTGTTAATTAGCAATAGGTTTACTATATATGGTGTATGGAATGAATGGAAGGTGTACATGTCTGTCTGGCAGAGTTTATCTGACCTTGACCGCATTCTAATCGGTCGTTAGTCAATTTCAAGTTTTCGTGGAAAAGTCTGTTTCTCAGGTACTGTAAGCAATAGGTCAACTATATTTGGTGTTTGAAATGAGTGTATAGTGAACATGTCTGTCTTGCAAGTTCATCTGAACCTGACCTCATTTTCAAGGTTCTTAAAAGTCAGCATTATGTTTTCATGGTTCAGTCCGTCTCAGAAATTTTAAGCAATTCGTCAACTATGTTTGATGTAGGTATGTCATCTGACCTCGACATCATTTACACAGTTGTATAATTTTTTGCTCTCAAGACTTATTACATAAATTCAATCTAAATCAGTTAATTTTTTTTTGGTGGTTTTGAACACACCCCAGCTGTAAAATAGTAATTTTCAGTCTTATTTTTCGATTTTAATACGACCTTGAGAGGGGTACATTGACCAAACTGTGTTTCTTAGTCATTCAATTATTACCTTGTAGTAAATAGAGCAGTACATCCATACTGACTGGAAGTAAATGTGACTTGAGTGCCTTGCTGGGGAATTATTATTGGCAACCCAGGTCTGCCTAAATGTCCATTTTTACAGATTTCCGACAAAACCTAGATTTTACAGTCCAGATCTTTTTTGGCCACATTATACCTCATTGTGTTCCTGTATCACTTATGCATGTGTTTAGGATAATAGTTAATACCTATGGCCCATACCATTAATGCAGTAGCCATCAAATGACTCCCACCCCCACCCCATTTTGGCTACTTTTAACATTTTTCCGATTTTGAACTCTAAGAAGGTCATTAAGGTTGTCATATTTTCATAAAAACATATTTGGGAAGAGTTTATGGACCATGAATTGCATGGTTGAATTCCCTGCTGTCAACACAATTCAGCTTGGGCAGTTCTCAAAAAGTATTGAGGGTCATATGGGCCATCAAAGAATGGCGATTGCAATCAAGACTACACACAGGATTGGGGGTGAAGGGGTCAAAGAACCCCAAGAATTCAAGAATTTGAATTAAACCCCATTGAAATTGGTCAAGAAATAAGCAAATTATACAAAGTATTAGAAAAGTATTGTTTTTTGCCCCTTTTTCCTTATTGGTTAGGGCCATAACCCATCCAAAATCAATCACAACCTTCCTTTTTTGGTATGGAACTTTGTGGTACAATTTCATAGAGATCCATAGACTTATATTCAATTTATTGTCAGGAAACAAGAAATCCTAGTTTTTTGGCCCCTAATTCCTAAACGGTTTGGGCCATGACCCCCAAAATCAATCCCATATAAACAAGAAGACGTGGTATGAGTGCCAATGAGACAACTCATCATCCAAGTCACAATGTATAATAAAAAGTTAACAATTATAGGTCAAAGTAAGGCCTTCAACACTGAGCCTTGACTCACACTGAACAGCAAGCCAACCTGCCTTTTAAGTATGGAACCTTTTGGTACAATTTCATAGCGATCCATACACTTATACACAAGTTATTTTCCTGAAACAAGAAAAATGCTTTTTTTTTTTTGCCCCTTTTTTGCCCGATTCCTAAACAATTTAGACAATAACCCCCAAAATCAATCTCAATCTTCCTTTCATGGTATGGAATTTTGTTGTACAATTTCATAGAGATCCATACACTTATGCTCAAGTTATTGTCTGGAAACCAAATGTCTTTGGATGACGACGACAACCCCATAACATTATATGACTGCATCAAAGGAAAAGTTATATAAAATAGTGTAATGTGGTATGATTGCCTTTAAGACAACTATCTATCTCATGTCAGGAGCCTGTAGTTCAGTGGTTGTCATTTGTTGCTGTATATCATATTTGGTTTTTTTCCTGTTTATTGTTTTGTACACAAATCAGGACGATAGTTTCTTGTTTAAATTGTTTGACATTTGTCATTTCGGGGCCTTTTATAGCTTACAATGTGGTACAAATGTACCAGTTTTGCTCATTGTTGAAGACCGTACAGTTACCTGTAGTTGTTTAATATCTTCCATGCCATTTGGTATCTGGTAGAGAGTTGGCAATCATACCACATCTTCTTATTTTTATATTAAGCAGTCTTGTATCAAATATTCATAAACTTTGGTGCAATCATTCTCCATGTTATTAAACACCTTCTCACTGAGTGGATGGTACCTCAAGACTATAATTACCCAGTCTGTCCATGAATTTGTTATATGTGACTCAGCTTCTTTATAAAGGACTGATTTGATGTTTGGTCTCAAACTTTCTTGTGATGAGTTGAGGAGATATAGATTCCACCACTGCATCAAGTGTATTATGATATTTCTCCATTCGAGACAGTTAAATATTTAAAATTTAACTGTTGAGATTGGAGAAATATCGTAATACACGAGATATAGTGGTGGAATCTGTTTCTCTGATGATTTTAAGACGATATTTAAACAAGTTTATCCTTCCTTTTCAAAGATTTGCAGAAAGTTGTGTTCTTTATATGTGATGTCATCAGGCATGGTCGCCTTTTTTCATGACTCACAATAGGAAATTCAGAAGAAAATTTGATGTCATAATTGAACTTTCGACCAATCATTTGTCGAGAACAGTTATTTCACTAGTGAGGAGAACAATTTTTTTCACAATAGGTTGGGAAATGTAAAAATAGTGAAAAAATTAGAGAAAGTTATTTTCAGATCTGCATGCATGGTCATCTTCACTTCATGATTTAATTTGAACACGTATCAGATGTATTTGTTTAAAAGCTTGGAGTTGTGTTCAAACTAAAATAATATACCTCTGATTTAGACAGAGGTTTTAGAAGGATCACAGATGCCCGAACTATTACAAAGTACCGGTAACTCTTTTTCAGAGATGAGAAAAAGGGTCCTGAAGGATGGGTTTGAATAAATGGACAGTATATGTCAATGAGACTGCAACACAATACCACAAATAACAAAATGTTATATGGGTGCATGGAGCTGTAGCCGCAAGGGCAATGGTCAATTGGATTCAGACAATTACTACATTCCTTTGTTGCAATGCAATTGAGGAATTAAATGGATAATTGACTTCATATACTGTGAGGCTAGATAAATCTAATAAAACTGGTATTCAATAAATATTTCAAAGACGAATATTATTAATACATACTTGTAGTGGTGTAAGAAAAAGTCAAATTTATAAAAGTAATCCCTCCTTTATTTCAATTACAAATGTATATGATAATCATAGCACCACAAAATAACAGGAATTCTTAAAAATACAATCAACAAGAATACATATAGTTGTATTCATACAAAAATAATCTTTTCTGAAAAGCATGTGAATTTGCCCTAAATACATACTGGATATAGTTTGAACACACTAAAAATCAAATATGTGAACACAAGGTAACAATCTGTGAAACGCATGCATTCAACAGTTACAATAATGTAAAACCCTTATCAGGAAATGCAAAGTATTTTTCATTTTATCTAATAATGGTTACCTGTAAAGCTTAATATTTTAAAGGGTTGTTCCATATAAGCATACATGGTACCAAGGGGAAGGCTTTGTAATCTCAACTATGGTAGAGCTTATTTTGCACAATGAAAATATAAGAGAAACTATAAAATTGGCTCTATAGATGGTTACCCAATTTCAAAGTGCCTTCCCTGGGTTAATTGAATGAATTTTATAAAGGTAACTGGTTCATTAATGCTAAATCTCAGAATTTTATGAAATTTCGGAACTGCATATGAATACTGAAAAAATGAAATGCATTACTTTCTATACTTTCTAAGATAAAGCAAATTAAATAACAGCAAATAGAAGTACAAATATATATAATACATGTAAATATCACAAAAAGATTAAAAAAAAACTGACCTTAAATTGATATCTCTTAATTTAATTTAAATTATTCAAAACTCATTCAATGATATATAATAGATACTTTATCCAAAACTGTTGAGTCTTTCAATGATTATTTAAGGTAAAGGAAATAGAGGAAACAAATAAATAAATAGGCAAGCAATATTGATTTTATAAAAACTAGCTAAACAGCAATGCTTGAGTATATATTTCAAACTCTTGGAGCACAGAAACAACAAAAGTATAGTAAATAATCAAAGGTCTACACTCAACTTAAAACATAATTAGTTGTAGTACACGTATCATCAATATAAGATCAAAACATCTGGTCTTACAGTCATAAACATTTTGAGTATGATTATCATATTCAGATTCAGAAATCAACCAATCAAAAGTACTGGAATTAGTGTTTCTTGTTCTCCACGACTGAAAGACCTAATATCGAACTGACAATGAAAATTAAAGCAATATGGCCTGCAGATTGCAAAATATAATATAATGTAATTACAATGGATTTCTTAATGAAACGTGTTCATTGAAACTTGAGGAGTCTCATTTTGCATATGGAAAATTTAGTCAATGATATACCGGTATGTTGTATACAAACAAAAAAGATATCATTATCATTATGCAAATCACAAATCTATTTAAATAATACATATGGGCATCAATTAATGGTACAAGTCCAATAAGAAAAACATACACACAAATTTATCTCAGAAGTAAAATAATAAATATCATAAAAAGTGATAGGGCATAACTTAACTTGAATATTTTATATATTAATTAGATGATCGGACAAAATTTGAAGGAATTGAATATGGGCATTAAAGACATATGGTCTATCTTTAACATACCCACCAAAAAACAGAATAAGCCTTTACCTTACAAAAAAGAATATAAGCAGTATTAAGTAGTGACCAGGTGTTTCAAAAGTTACAAATGTTTTTTACTTTTGAGAAATTTTTGTAAATGGCCTTGTCTAACTGTCTGGATGGAAAAGTATAATTATGCATGGTAAACTCTGGTCTTTAAAGAGGCACTAGCTACGAGATATATAAAAAATCTAATATATGATTTTTTTTTTGTTCAATCATTAATGGAAGTGAAATAGTGAAATAATTATTCGCTTTTAGCCACCAGTATGGTTCAATTTTGTCAAAATAAGCTAAGAAACATTGATGATGAATTATTCACTTGCAAGTGAATAATTTGACCTCATTGAATCCGTATTCATGTGAACTTCAATTTAACCCCTTAGCTAGAGATCGATAACACGTGAATTGTATGTGTAAAGTTATTTAAAGGAAAAGAATGTCAACATTGAAAGTGAAACAAAGGTAAATCATTTGATTGACTGATCCGATCCACAAAAAATCATTCTTATACAGGTAAAAACGATGATAAACATATATTTTTAATCTATAATATGAAATTAAACAGACCTAGAAAAATCCAATAGCACAAGTTCGCTTAATCTATTTATATCTTTATTTATGTTTACATCGCTTATATGGTCATCAGATGACTTTGGAAGTCAACTCTATAGTTAATTAGATGGTGTCTAGACTAAAATACACATGAAACGAAGCTACGTGTAATCATGCCTATGTCCTGTTAACTGTTTATTTTAGACTTTTAATAGGTTGGATAAATGTTTGACATTGTTATCAATCAAATATGAGAATTTGAGTCAAATTGGTGAACACGAATTTGACAGCTAGTACCCCTTTAGTATCAAGAACTACAGTGTAAGATGAATGATTCATTTTTAGCTTGGTTGATCAAAGTTTAAAACCGGCTTTTAGTAGGGTGATCACGGATGAATGGGCAGGCTGGTGGGCGATGAAAAGTGGTAACTGTAATTAACTCCTCCTACAATTTACAACACAGATCCCTTAAACTTCACAGAGAGATGGCAGACATGTTGAAGTTGTGCACCTGCTATTATAGAGTTGTTTTAGGAATTTTCACCTATTTTTCCAGACTTGGGAACTCAGTCATTTTCAGTAAATATTTACAAAAGAAAGTACCAGTTTGTGTAATTAACTCCCCATACAGTTTTTACCCAGATCCCGGATATTCACAGAAAGATTACTAATATTTTTCAAAAATTGGGATTTTAGAATACCATACAAAGGGTATTTTGCAATGTTAGTGGTAGAGATTTAACTGTACATTATGCAAACATTTCACTGTCTATTTAAATGCATTGTACAAGGCTATGAAATGCCAATGATGAAAATGACAAAAAAATTCAATGACTTACCCCTCCCTAAGACCCAAACTTTGAACAAAGTCTGAGACTAAAATAACCTGATTTATTGTACCCAATTCTTTATCAAAAGCAATCTTTTAATGAGATAAGCAATAACAAAACAAATAAATTTGATTGACAGTGTAATTTTAAATCATTAAAATGAAGCTTTGCAACTGTACAAAATCACTATGAACTTAGAATAATTTTTTTTTTAAATTAAATTCTATATAAATGTTATACTAAAAATTTATAAATATAAAAAAAACATAATAACTTCTGATTTATTGCATAAGTTTGTAGGCACTTAAACAACAGTACCCATACTAGGTAATCTAGAATCTCAAACTAGAGGTACTGCCAACAAAGCTCACAAAATGATACCCCCTGGTCCCTTGCAATTTCCTTGACTTGCAACAGGAAACACAAAAAAAAAAAACTAAATAGGGGGTGTACAACAGCATATAGTTAAGATTGTGAGAAAGTTTAAAAAAGGGGTTTAGGGAAGCCCTTTAAAAAATCGTTAACACTGTTTACTAACATTTCCATACAAAACACACATCATCACCTGAATAATTGACTGATTTTACCCTTTCTGTACAAATTTTTAACCAACACCATATAATTAAGAAAAGCACCTGTATACACTCATACATATAGTTTAGGAATAACCTTTATTAACATTTTAACCCCAATTCAAACCAATATTTCAGCAACCCCATTTTTTCAATTTTTTACCATCACCAACCACTAATGCTTAAAACTTCCATTGCACTATATATTAGGAGCTTTCTATAATAACACAGCCAGTCTAATCTATTTTTTGTACCAAAAAAAATTTTAAAAAATCATAGCATAAAATATTTATACACTTGAATAAAAATAACAGACTAGAAATATAATAATGGACAAAACATGGCACTTCTGATATGGATTTTATACACATTTTGAAATAAAAAATAACATTTGTAAGTATCAATTTTCTTCTATTTAAAAAAACAAATTGTATCTATTAAAGCTTTTATGAAATTTCAGTGATAGTACAAGTACAATATAAAATACTTATATGGAATCAGTAAACTCATATAAATATAAAGACCACTATTAAAACAGTTATGTGAAATTGCCAAGATATACTGAGCATGGAATACTTCAATAGGTTGGCATATATAAGTATTTGTTTTTAAAAGTAAAGATTATACTCGCTAATTTTAGCAAATATCGTTGTAAATATTGTTCAAACATAGCATATTTTTTTAATTTCTACAAAACATTTCAAGTGCTGACTTTGCATATAAAGTACTGTGAGATCAAAACAAATGTGCCATACTATTATTCTATTTTACTTAAAAGCTATGATAAACAAAGCTTATCAGTAAGAATGGAATAAAATAACACTTTTTTTAATTACCGTACAAAATTTGAACATGACATTAAAAAAAGGTTTTAAAAAATTTAATAATTTCAAAATTCATAAACAAAAGGCAACTGTTAAGTAGACTTAGAACTTATCAAATGAGCATGCTCCTCATCTGAATGACTAGAATTTACAAGAACTTGACTATAAATAACATTCTCATCATCACTTAAACTTGTATCACTGATTGTTGGTAATTTATTTATGGCACAATGTGGTTTTTGTGGATTTTCTGATTGGTTGGCACATTTATGGATACTATTCAAGTCTGGTTCTATATGATTTGTATCATTACATTTAAATGATTCTCGTTCTACACTATTGTCTGATAGAGCATGTCCAGAACTATGACATGCTCCATCAGTTGCTGCCACATGCAGGTCACTTGGAACCTGATCATTACTATTCTGAAAACTGGAATGTCTTTCTGTATAAACTCCTTGTTGTGGCAGTGCCACTCGAAGGTTATAATACTGATCTCCATCAGCTTGCTCTTCACTTATTGTAGAACTCAACTCCTGCATTGGATATTCTTCCCATAAATCAGTATTACTTCCTGTTGTATCCTGAGCAGACGACAACAACCCTGTGGTTTCTGATGGGTCATTGCCTTGTGAAAGCTGCTGAGCTCTGACATAAACTTTTCTCATTCTGGAAACTAGCTTTTTTTCTTCATCGTAACAGAATATATATTCAAAAGACTGGTAAATTGCCAATACTACACAGAATGCACTGGCAAGTGTCAAAATCTACAAAAAAATTAAAAAATCCATAACAGATATTAATCTGAATGTACTAATAAGTCCCAAATCTACCATAGAAATATTGTTGAAGACTGCATGTTGTTCTATAGATGTCTTTTGATTAGTTTTGTCATAGGGTTGCTGTCTCATTAACGTATACCCCACATCTCTCTCTATTCATTAAATTCATTCAAATGCAAGATAGGGTAAAAATATACATAAACTGTTATCACAGAGATATGTCTCGCCATTTTGTAATTTTGATAATGCAAATGTTGAAATTAAAATAGCAATACTTTAACATGTAAGTTATGCAAATATTCAAAGTCGATGAACCACGACTGAAGGTACATGGCTAAACAATCTCCATGGAATGAGATGTGCCAATGCTAATACAACTGCATACCAAATACCATTGACTTATTATAAGTCATTCCCTTTAAACAAACCTAAACACAAACACTATCTGGTAAACTATGTAAAAGTTTCAAAGTCAAAGAACCATGATCAAGGGTGGGGCTATATAATATCCATGGAAACGATAATTGCAAATGCCAATAAATTTGCATACCAAATATCATTGACTTAACATTAGCAGTTCATCTTAAACTGATCTAATCACAAACTAATACATGTAAACTAAGCAAAAGTTTCAAAGTAAATAGACCATGACTGAGGGGGCGGGGCCAAATATTCTCCATGGAAATGAGATGTGCCAATGCTTATACAACTGAACACCAATTAACATTGGCCTACCACTAATGGTTCCCCTTGAACTGACCTAATCACAAACTAATACAAGTTAACTTAGCAAAATTTTCAAAGTCTATAGACCATGACTAAGGGGGCGGAGCCAAATAATCTCCATGGAAATGAGATATGCCAATGCTTATACAACTGCATACCAAATATCATTGACCTACCACTAGTGGTTCCCCATAAATTGACCTAATCACAAACTAATACATGTAAACTATGAAAAGTTTCAAAGTCAATAGACCTTGACTGAGGGGGCGGGGCCAAATAATCTCCATGGTAATGAGATGTGCCAATGCTAATACAACTGCATACCAAATATCATTGACCTACCACTAGTGGTTCACCATGATCTAGACCTAATCACAAACTAATACATTGTTGATGCCGCCGCCGCCGCCGCCGGAAACAGCATACCTATGTCTCGCTTTTTGACTTTGTCAAGGCGAGACAAAAATGCATTTCATATTTTGGGTGAAAGACATATCATAGTATATAAAATATTCTGTTAAGGTGCATCTAAAATTTGTTGTAATTTTTATAAAGAATTATTTCTTTTGGCTTATTTACACACATGCATTTATGCACTTGTTCAATTTTATTCTTTTACAAAGGCTACAAACCTGACTGGAAAGGAATCAACTACACATAAAAAATTGAGTGTGTTTAAGTTTTTGGTTTATGGAAGTAAATAGAATTTATACCTTTAGTGTCTTCTCACTCATGGCAGTACTATCAGGTTTGGCTGTGTTGGGAAGTTCCTGGCACTCTGGAATGTAACTCTGGTTCAAATACTGTCCACTCATTGCCTCTTCTATTATACTGTTAAATAGAATATAAATTGTTTACACAGAGATATGTCTCGCCTATTTGTTATTTTGATAATACAAATGTTGAAATTAAAATAACAATACTTTAACATGTAAGTTATGGAAAATATTCAAAGTCAATGAACCATGACTAAAGGTACAAGGCTAAACAATCTCCATGGAAATGAGATGTGCCAATGCTAATACAACTGCATACTAAATACCATTGACTTTTCATAAGTCGTTCCCTTTAAAGAAACCTAAACACAAACATTAACTTGTAAACTAAGCAAAAGTTTCAAAGTCAATAGACCATGACTGAAGGGGTGGGGCCAAATAATCTCCATGGAAATGAGATATGCCAATGTTTATACAACTGCATACCAAATATCATTGACCTACCACTAGCGGTTCCCCATAAACTGATCTAATCACAAACAAATACATGAAAACTAACCAAATTTTCAAAGTCAATAGACCATGAATGAAGGGGCGGGGCCAAATAATCTCCATGGAAATGAGATATGCCAATGCTTATACAACTGCATACCAAATATCATTGACCTACCACTAGTGGTTCCCCATAAACTGACCTAATCACAAACTAATACATGAAAACTAAGCAAAAGTTTCAAAGTCAATAGACCATGACTGAAGGGGCAGGGCCAAATAATCTTCATGGAAATGAGATAGGTCAATGCTTGTACAACTGCATACCAAATATCATTGACCTACCACTAGTGGTTCCCCATAAACTTACCTAATCACAAACTAATACATGAAAACTAAGCAAAGTTTCAAAGTCAATAAACCATGACTGAGGGGCGGGGCCAAATAATCTCCATGATAATGAGATGTGCCAATGCTAATTCAACTGTATACCAAATATCATTGACCTACCACTAGTGGTTCACCATGAACTAGACCTAATCACAAACGAATACATTGTTGACGCCACCGCCGACTCCGGAAACAGCATACCTATGTCTCGCTTTTTGACTCTGTCAAGGCGAGACAAAAATGTGGCATGGTTTGAGGAATTCATCCAGTGTTAAAATTACTAACAACATCAATGCTGTAGACTATTTGTTTCAATAAAGCAGATTTACAGTTTCACATTTTCAAGTTTTCTTTCACAAATATTGTCATATCTATAAATCCCAATGTTTGCATTGCCTAACCATGATGGTCCTTATTAATGTACAGGACCTTGTCTTCTCTTATGTTATGTCCATGGTATTGTAGCTTTCTTTAAATGTCTTTTTTGCTGCAGTATCAGTCCAATATTAATACACAACAACAAGAATCTGTGTCCTTACAATACCATGCCCCACTCACAATATATTTCTATGTTCAGTGAACCGTGAAATTGGGGTCAAATCCTAATTTGGCATACACTTTAAATAGTTAACATTATAATGAACATTTGTACTAAGTGTAAAGTTGATGTGACAAAACTTCCTGGTTGAAGTACCATAACCAACAAGTTAAACCTAACCTGAGAATGTACTGATATCTCTGTATCACATTTTCATGTTCATTGAACTGTAAAATCAGGGTCAAAACCATAATTTGGCATATAATTTTAAAAGTTTGCATCATAATAAACTTGTGTATTCTACCTTAATCAAAAACTATTACCAGACACAGAATGGACGGACAGATGAATAGACACACAGGGGTACCAGAAAATATAATGCTAGGCAGGTCATAAAACCTTAAGGACCCAATAACAAAATTTCTAATAAAATTCTATTATTACTGATATTTTTCATAGGACTAAATCATAAAAAATAGTAACCACCTTCTGTTCTTACATTGACAAATTGCGTATCTATATAGAAGTTAACTCCTATGTAATATTAAGAAAATATCATAGAAAACAAAAGTAAAATTTTACCTTCTTCTTTGTTGAAACATATCTGTAGACATAGATGTACCAAACAATCGTAATTTCCATCTTTTCAGGTATCCAATAGAAGAAAAATCTCTTCCTTAAATGAAATGTAAGAAATTTCATTTATCATGTGAAATCAATAAAAATTACACAAAATTGATGTCAAAACTAAATCAAATATCTCATTCTTACATGTTGTATTAAATGTGAGATTCATGTAAAAACATAAATGATATGGAAGTTTATAATAAATATCACAGTACCCAATTTGCACCCATTTTGCAACAAGGAAACGGGAAATCTTGCAGGTTATCATAACAATTTGATTTTTTTATCATTTGTAATTGTGCACGCCTTTCAAAGTATCTAAATATTTTCAAAGATACACAAACCGGTCACACTACATATCAATAGATGAAGTCTCCAGTGAAAATAGTTAAATATAAGATAACATCCACAAAAAGTAGACTTTCAAAAATAAGCAAATAGAATATGTCACAAATATCCATTTCTTACAAAATGCAAAATAAGTTTAGACTATGGTTAAACTGTCCTGTTAATATGAAGAAATATAACAAAACATAAGTTATTCAATTTTTAAGGACGTGTACATAAGCATGTGTGCAATTTAGTTTCTCCTCATTACAGAATCTTCGATAGTTTAAAGGTAGGTTAAAACCCTTTTTTCTATAATTCAGTACAGATTCAAAATTAAATTGTGGAACTATATAGAAAATAGGGATACATCTATAAAATATAAAAACACAAAATGGAAACTTTTGTCTGTTTTATAAATAAACAAAGATGAAAAACTGTTGAAATAGAAGGAATTTGGGTACTCTCACATTACATTTAATTTCTTCGATGAATTTTATATATGATCGGATATTCACCAATTCTGGTAAGACTAATGATTAAATATGTTTCATGATATTTTCAGTTTTACAAAACTCACAAACTGTACGAATTTCCCGGAGAAATATACGACAACAATAGACAATAGACCAACAAAAAAACTCTTAATAAATAAAAAAGGTCTTTAAACACATTTATTGATAATAGGAAATTTTACTTTGAAATTGGTCTATTCCTCTTGCTTATTTCATGCTACCTTTGTGCTTAACTTAAGTTTACTGAACTACTTGCAAAGATTCTACTTTGTATGTCATACATCTTAATTCAACTTTATAAAGTAACCTTATATTCATACCTTTATCAGAGATCTTTATAACCCACTCTCCAACTGGACTCTCTCCCCAGCACCTTACAGTGTTAAATGTCCAATCACTCAACCCTTTATCAGATCTGTAATATCAATGAAATTATATCAGGGGACATCTTTCAAAATTATGATGTGTGAGAACAAATATTATACCGTAAGGAAATTACTTCATTTCCACCAATTTCAGTGGCATAGCTAGGACTAAAAGCAAGTGGATGTCAAAACATTTTTTGGAACATTATATGCAGAAAATGATATTTTTTGGACATTTTCCCTGTATATTGCTGTATGCAGAATTTATTGTTTTCTTGAAACTATCATCATTCAATTCGAAAATATTTAACGTTAAAGTTTCCCACCCAATCTAAACAGGACAAAATGTTGAAATATTTACAGTATCAATAATATTCTATGCAATGTTAAAAAATGTATATTCTGTTAAGATATAACAGGTATATTTTTTTGAAAGAAAAACTAATATTTGAACCTAGATGGACACAGGTATTTATAAGCCCATGAATGATCACACTCTGTCACGCTTGGCTCAATTGCAGATGAAACTGTCCGCGGGTCTGCGTATAATCATCCTCTGCGCTTGTCGTAGCCGACGACGTAGACTTTTTATGAAAAAGTCGAGAACGCTTATCTGAATTTTGAGGTAGACTTTTTAACAAATTGTCGGCATTCCTATGTGAACGAACTGTGTGTCTCTCTTTGCCGACCTCGTCGTATTTTCATATGAGTCTGATATCCTTCAGACACTTGTAAAATACAAGAAGACCAAAGAAACCAGCTCATTTAATTTCACATGCAGATATATTGATGATGTTATATCTATTAACAATCCAAACTTTTCTGATTGGGTTCCATTAATATATCCTCCAGAACTAGAAATTAAAGAAACAACAGACACGGCTTCCTCTGTCTCATTTTTAGACTTATATCTCGAATTTAACATAAGTGGTCATCTCAGTACCAGAATCTATGACAAACGAGACAATTTCAATTTTGAAATTATCACCTTCGTAGCAATATCCCAACTTCACCTACATATGGAATATACATTTCCCAAATCATTCGGTATTCAAGAGCTTGCAGCTTAACTCAGATTTTGTAAAACGTCACCAGTGTCTGAGCAGAAAGTTGATTAACCAGGGATATGTCAAAGAACGTCTCGTCCTTTTTCTGAAAAAAAGTTCATTGGAAGATACCAACCCTTGTTAATAAATATTCCGTATCAACTTCCCAAATTATACACGATGGTCTTGAAGTATAGATTCTAGGTACTGACGTTGTTCAGCATCTTAAGAACGTGTTATAATATTGTTTTATTTGTCTTTGTAAAGTCATGATTACTTTTACTGTTAAGTCGGCAATATCCATTTGACGTGGCTTGGTACTTATACATCCCGTCATTGTGTTTTTGTGCTATATGGTAAATTTTTGTATTCTTGTCTTTTGTTTTTGCCAATGTGCTTTGTCTATATGCCTTTTTGTTTATCTTTGTTGAAATATTTGCTTGTTTTTATAGTGATTAAGATTATAACACAATGTTGACTGCTGTACCACTATTTTTGACATTTATACATTTTATGTCTGTTTGTTTTGTTCACACATCGTTGTCAATAATGGAATTTTTTGCGACTGTCGTACAAGTGAAAGGTTTAGCTAGCTATAAAACCAGGTTTAATCCACCATTTCCTACAAAGGAAAATGCCTATACCAAGTCAAGAATATGACAGTTGTAATTCATTCGTTTGATGCGCTTGGGCTTTTGATTTTGCCATTTGCTTCAGGACTTTCCGTTTAGAATTTTCCTCTAATTTTGTTATTTTACCTTCTGCTATTTATTCATTTTGTTTACATAAACTAAACGAAGAACAAACACACCCATGAATACTGCTACGGAAATGATTGGGAGTCATCCTCATATTCTCACCCTTGTTACATTCAGATACCTCCGAGTTTATCTGCTGCGAACACATGCAATATTATTTATTTTTTACTGGTTTTTTTTGTCAAAATGATGTGGATGCTTGAGCATCTGAACATACATGCAAGCTACGCCACTGAATTTATATGAAAGGTGAAGTTTACAAGGGACTTACACTGGCAAAACATGGGTTTTTGGTGTTGCTAGCTTGGCAAAACTGTGAAAATTCATTGTGTATTTGTTGAATCAGAAAACCATGTCAACAAAAATTGATCACCAGAAATCAAATTCAAACTAAAATTCCATGAAAAGTCAGTCAACCAGAACAAAATGCAAACTCAATCTGTAAGTCATCGTTATACACTTATGTACACAAAAATCAACTCCAGATCTGCAGGTATTAGAGAAAAAAGTACAATTATCATGAGATTCTCTGTCCAAGGGTAATAATTCAGGAAAAGGTCAAGTCTTGAACCCTACACAAACTAGATCTGTTAGTCATCATTATACACTTATGTACCATAAATCAGATCAATATTTGAAAAATCTGGACAACTGTATATTTCAAGAAGAACGGACATGGATAATACCATATTGGCCAGCTACTTAGTGGTGGGAGTAATTTCCTTAGGCAGAACACTAAAATATAAAATCCTATTTATTATTTATACAACCATTTCTCACCTATCATACATTCTGTAAGCACCCATGATAGATCTGGTACCACTTGGACAAAGAAGGACAGTTTCTAAGTCTCCTCTAGTAGGATGTGTTATTGTGACTGCTAACTGTGCATTTTCAAGGGTAAAAAGGTCAAATCCTTCAATGTCTGCCTTGGAAACTGTAAAATTAAATTACATTCATAAATAACTTATATTTTTGAGACACCTGTGTATTTTTCTCACCTGTTATCAGCCAATAGTTGAAATAACAAAAAAATATGTACATCACTGAAGGTAGGACTGAAGTAGAGGTTGAAGGTTACATTATGAAAGGTCGAAAGAATAAACAGCTGCGCCATGAGCGCATGATACGCCCATCGCGTTTTCAAAGAATAAAGTTCAATAACTTCTCAATGTCAGATCAGAAATTTATAAAAAACTAAAGGGAGGTTATCTTAATAGATATAAATCAGTCGACAAAGTTTAATGAAAACTGCTAAAAGCATTTTTGAATTATTGTCTGAAAACTGGAAAATTCCCCTTTTTTTAATGAATAAAACCCCATAACTCGGAAACGTAAAATCTAAAATTTATAAAAATCTAAGGGAGCTCATGTCAATAGCTATAAACAATTTACCAAAGTTTCTTGCAAATTGCTGAAAGAGTTTGTGAGTTATTGTCCGAAAACTGGAAAATCCCCCTTTTTTTAATGAATAAAACCCCAAAACTCTGAAACGTAAAATCTAAAATATATAAAAAACAAAAGGGAGCTCACGTCAATAGATATTAACAATTCACCAAAGTTTCATGCAAATTGGTTAAAGCGTTTTTGAGTTAATGTCCGACATGTTGACGACGGACAACTGTATGCCATAATACGTCCCATAAAAGGGCGTATAAAAAAGAAAATGTTAAATGAACATAAATAAATAAAATACTCTGAATTTGGAGAGATTGAAGGTTACATAATGAAAGGTTGACATTAAAACAAGATAATTAAATGAACAATAACTAACCCTGAATTGAAATTTAAAAAGTTCTAATGAAGGTATATAATATAAAAGAAACACCGGCATTCCTTAGATATATACCTGTGTACTTGATTGTGAGAGGTTTGTTTACACCTTTTGGTATCTGTTCATTGATACATACCTGTGTACTTGATTGTGAGAGGTTTGTTTACACCTTTTGGTATCTGTTCATTGATATATACCTGTGTACTTGATTGTGAGAGGTTTGTTTACACCTTTTGGTATTTGTACATTGATATATACCTGTGTACTTGATTGTGAGAGGTTTGTTTACACCTTTTTGTATCTGTTCATTGATATATACCTGTGTACTTGATTGTGAGAGGTTTGTTTACACCTTTTGGTATTTGTACATTGATATATACCTGTGTACTTGATTGTGAGAGGTTTGTTTACACCTTTTGGTATCTGTACATTGATATATACCTGTGTACTTGATTGTGAGAGGTTTGTTTACACCTTTTGGTATCTGTTCATTGATATATACCTGTGTACTTGATTGTGAGAGGTTTGTTTACACCTTTTGGTATTTGTACATTGATATATACCTGTGTACTTGATTGTGAGAGGTTTGTTTACACCTTTTGGTATTTGTACATTGATATATATACCTGTGTACTTGATTGTGAGAGGTTTGTTTACACCTTTTGGTATTTGTACATTGATATATACCTGTGTACTTGATTGTGAGAGGTTTGTTTACACCTTTTGGTATTTGTACATTGATATATACCTGTGTACTTGATTGTGAGAGGTTTGTTTACACCTTTTGGTATCTGTACATTGATATATACCTGTGTACTTGATTGTGAGAGGTTTGTTTACACCTTTTGGTATTTGTACATTGATATATACCTGTGTACTTGATTGTGAGAGGTTTGTTTACACCTTTTGGTATCTGTACATTGATATATACCGGTGTACTTGATTGTGAGAGGTTTGTTTACACCTTTTGGTATTTGTACATTGATATATACCTGTGTACTTGATTGTGAGAGGTTTGTTTACACCTTTTGGTATTTGTACATTGATATCACCACTGGAATGCATATATGAGGTCAACCATGGAACAGGTTCCCATACCTAAAAAGTAATAAGTACAACTAAAATTGAGAATGGAAACTATTTACATTCTCCAATAATAAATGTTAAAAAAATATGAAGTTAACCAGTTAGTTTACTAAGTTAATTTGAAAAAAAGGTAACTGTTCTCTAACAAATACTGCCGATTTCAATTAAATCTTTGTAAGCGTATACCCCATTCCATCATTACATAACCTTTTGTATTTCAACCTACCCTTGCAGCATTAACTAGTCTCCAAGCCTTCATCAGACCAAATCCGTGTTTGTGGCTGTGATATAAACCTGCTTTATTCTTTTGCCAATGAGCTAAATCTATGTCAACCTATAGAATGTAAATATTGAATTATAAGATAAATTGATTGATTGATGGTTTGCTTAAAGCCATGTGGCAAAATTTTCATGCATATTAAGGACAATAGATTGACTAAAGGAAAACCTCTTTTAATAGTTTACTTTTTTATTTATTTCCTAGATAATTTGAAAATAATTTCATTTCACACAATATTCTACTTTTGTAGAAAAAGGTATTAAGTTCCTTGTTTATAAGGAAAAAGCTGTCTCTCTTTCTTTGCAATTTAATTCTGTCTCTTAAGTCAGAAAAAAATCAAAATTCCTCCATCTTTCGCCATAATATCTATGATTGTTGTTAAGAATAGCAGCTTTCCCGTATAAAAATTAGCATTAAAAAATAACTATGCTGGATTAAACATTCAGAAATTTCTACCAGCAAATCGATTATTGAGGTCATTTCTGCAAATAACTCCTACCTTTTGTGCTGTCATAACAATTATATATTGCACATCTCTCCATGTAAGGCAAGGTCTAGCTTGTAACATCAATGCTACCATCCCAGCAGCAATAGGAGCAGCAGCACTGGTACCTGTATGTGAGTATGTACACCCTGAAGCTCCATGCTTGTTCCAGTCTGTTGTTACCTGGTGTCAAAGTGAAAATAGCAAAAGATACATAGAAGAATGTTAAAAAATATCTAATCTAATAAAAAAAAGTTTTTTAATACTGGAATGAAAAAAAAACAAAAAACAAAAAAAAAACAAGTTCATGTAAAGCATTAATAACAAGAAATGATTGTAACAGGATGCTGTTACGAAGTCTCCCAAACGAAGCTCCCATAATTCGTAATTCCCAGGGTCGCCTGACATTGGGCCACATCCAGTGAAAATTGGTTTGGTCCAGTAAAGTTATATGCATTAGTGATGCCTGGGGACTAACCTTGTATATCATTCAAATCATCTTGGCATGACAAACCAGAATATATAGGGTTTAGGGGTGGGGATCTCGACCATTTACAAGATACTAGAACATTGGGGGTGGGGAGGAACCCCTGGGGACTGGCCCTATACGTCATTCAAATGTTGTAAATGGTCGAGATCCCCACCCCTAAACCATATATATTCCTATTTGTCATGTCTCGAACATTTGAATGACGTATATGGTCAGTCAATAAATGGCAGGGGGTGGGGGTGACCCCTGGGGACTAACCCTGTATTACATTTGATGTGCTTTATCATGACAAACCAGAATATATATGGTTTAGGGGTGGGGATCTCGACCATTAACAAGATATTAGAACTTTCTCAAATGGCAGGGGGTCGGGATGACCCCTGGGGACTAACCCTGTATATCATTCAAACCATCTTAGCATGACAAACCAGAATATATATGGTTTAGGGGTGGGGATCTTGACCACTTACAAGGTATTAGAACTTTCTTAAATGGCAGGGGGTGGGGGTGACCCCTGGGGACTAACCCTGTATTTCATTTAATGGGCTTTATCATTTAGAACATTTTCAATTAAAAAGATTGTGTCTATCACAAACGGTTTTCAATTTATAATCATTTGAAAATTTTAAAAAATAAAATCCCATAGGGTTCTATAGTAAAACCCTCTTTTCTTTTTGCCCCTCAAAGTACCCCTTTATAAACCCCATTGCACAAACAAAACCCTGATTGCACCACTAGACATGTTAGTCTAACATATTGTGAAACCCTAAGTTAATCTGACAAGCGGTTTTGGAGAACGGGTGCGGACAAGTTCAAATTTAAAAGCGGCGGAAGAAGAAGAAGAAGAAGAAGAAGAAGAAGAAGAAGAAGAATAATAATAATAATAATAAGAACTGAGCAAAAACAATAAGTCTTCCCAAACTTCGTTTGGGAGACTTAACAAGACCAATACCATGTCTGGACCTGAGTGGCTGCATGTTATTGATTGAGGTAACATTTATACTGAAGCATAAAGTTAGAAATGGAAACAAAAAATTCAGCAATTTTTCCATTTATAAAAGGGCATAACTCAAGAACGGTTAAAGTGACGCCACCCAAATTCAAGCTTGATCTGTGTTTTGTGGTAATGAGCATTGTGTGTAAGTTTTATAACATTTGGTTGAGGCAAACTTAAGTTAGAGAATGGAATCGAAAAATTCAGCAATTTTTCCATATACAAAGGAACATAACTCCAGAACTGTAAAAGTGAAGCCACCCAAATTCAAACTTGATCTGTGTTTTGTGGTAATAAGCATTGTGTATACGTTTAATAACATTTGGTTGAGGCAAACTAAAGTTAGAGAACAGAAACTTATTTTGAGACGTACATACGGATGGACAAGGGAAACACTTAAACTGAAATTAAACATTGCAGTGTCAGAGGTAATTACTGGGATCCTAGAAATTTATTTTATATGGCTTACAATACTCCTTGTTCCCATTCCACTACTAAAAGTAACAGCTAACATGGAGGCACATTCTTCTGCATAGTATGGCATATTACCATTCTCATCAACTGCCCCTGAGGATACAAATACACTGAATTAATTAATTGTCTTACCTAGATTTGCAGTAGTCTGTACAGCTTTACTGATAGGCTACTGAATATTTGTTCTGTACTTTATCCATTTGTTCTATTTGATCATAATTACTGCTTTATCCTTGAGTCCTATTTACAGCATAAGGAGCCATCTGGATGCCTTTTTGAAGGAAGGTGAATGCCTTAAACTACTAGATTCTGGTTTCAAAACTGATTTATTTTTGTAGTATTTTCCCCCATAAGGTTCTACACAAGAGTGCACACACTGAAATGTCTCGCCTTCTTTACTAACCATTGATTTTATTTTGATAGTCCTAAATACAAAGCTTTACTACAAGTAACACATAAACTTAACATGATCCAAGAAAATGAGGTCAAGGTCAGATAAACCAAACATAGTTGACCTATTGCTTATTGTTTCTAAGAAACAGTCTTAAACAAGAAAACTTAACATTGACCTATGAACCATGAAAATGAGATCAAGGCCAGATGAACCATGCCAGCTGACAGACATGTACATCTTACTATCAATTTAGGCATTTAATATAGTTGACCTATTGCTTAAAGTATCTAAGAAACAAACTTAACCTTGACCTATAATGGTTTACTTTTATAAATTGTAACTTGGATGGAGAGTTGTCTCATTGGCACTCATACCACATCTTCCTATATCTATTAACCATGAAAACTTAACATTGACCAATGAACCATGAAAATGAGATCAAGGTTAGATGATACCTGCCAGACAGACATATACACCTTACAATCCTTCCATACATCAAATATAGTTGATCTATTGCTTATAGTTGAAGAAAAACAGACCAAAACACAAAAACTTAACACTGAGAAATGAACCGTGAAAATGAGGTCAAGGTCAAATAAAACCTGTGAGACTAACATGTACATCATAAAATATTTCCATACACCATTTATAGTTGACCTATTGCATTTAGTATTAGAAAAAAAGACCAAAACTCAAAAACTTAACTTTGACCACTGAACCATGAAAATGAGGTCAAGGTCAGATGACACCTAAGGCATTCCATATACCAAATATAGTAGACCTACTGCTTATAGTATCTGATATATGGACTTGACCACGAAAACTTAACCTTGTTCACTGATCCATGAAATGAGGTCGAGGTCAAATGAAAATTGTCTGACGGGCATGAGGATCTTGCAAGGTACGCACATACTAAATATAGTTATCCTATTACTCATAATAAGAAAGAAATTAACATTACAAAAAATGTTCACTTTTTTTTCAAGTAGTCACTGAACCATGAAAATGAGGTCAAGGACAATGGATATATGACAGACAAAACTTCGTAACATAAGGCATCTATATAAAAAGTATGAAGCATCCAGGTCTTCTAGCTTCTAAAATATAAAGCTTTTAAGAAGTTAGCTAACGCCGCCGCCGGATCACTATACCTATGTCGAGCTTTCTGCGACAAAAGTCACAGGCTCGACAATAAAACTATAAGTACATCAGTGGAAAACGAATGCATTCTGGTAATTCAGAAAGAATTTCGTTCTAAGTATGAATAATTACCATTATTTATCATACCAAATATTCATGAAGAGATTCAAATTATTACTTACCTATTGTTACAGTATATATAGAGTTGGCATATCCATCATAGTTACAGTTATCATAGAAACGACCTCCATTACCACTAGCAACAACATATATACTACCATAACCTTTCCTACCAAAATCTATACCATATCTTATAGCTTTCTGAAAGATAAATATTTATCAGAATATAAGGTATATTGTTAACTCATTATTTTTATAAATGATGTGTTAGCAAATTTAACAATCCTTTTGAAGGAATTGCATAATAAATGTGTTTTTTTTTGTGAAAGATCATCAGTTGTTTTTGGTTTTTTTCTATATAACAAAAGCAAAATTAGATGATTTGTCAGCATATATGTGGTATTTTTATAAACCTACTATTTGTTTCAACTTTCGTTTTAATCACTTTACTTATTTTGTATGTAAAGCAGTTGTCATCAGCTAATACAGTGGTCTCTGATAGAACATCACAATTGCATAACCAAGTTTTATAAAAATAAGCTTAGAAATACCTTGTATGAGCAGGAAAAATCATGGTATAGAAAAAAGATGAATGTTTTACATAAAGAAAACTGAAAATTAGGAGTTAAGCTGCCAGTGTAATCCTTTCAAAACAACAACAAAAAGATATGACATTTGGTTTTAATTAGTCTTATAAAACTATCACAATCAAAGTCTAAAAATGTTTCATAATCCACACAGAAAATAAAATAAAATTCATTAATCACAGATATTAGAATAATATTTCATTAAACTCACAGCAGCCATAAAATGAGGCCCATCTACTGTTTTTCCATCATCATCAGGTCCCCAACTGTAAATATAAATTATAACTTATTAGTTCATACTAACAACATGTTAGCTTAGGACTGTTTAATAAAAAATATATGGTACCCAGGGGAGGCACTTTTAAAATGAGGTAACCGCTTATAGATACAATTTTAGAAAATTTCTTACAAATCAACTGTACAAAAAAAGGCGCTCATCCATAGTTGCAATTTCAACGTGCCTTTGGTGGTTCAATGCATGTTTTTTTTTAAACAGCCCTTATGTGCAAATAGAACCTTGATGTAAGAAAACATATGCCAGACGAAAAAAATAAATGCAACTTCTTTTTAATTTAAATTTTTTAGATTGTAAGGGGACATAAGTCCTTATTGGTACAAGCTGTCATGTTGCATATTAAGCTCCCAACTGTGCTTGACGATTACTTGGGGTTGATAAAAAAAATCGCAAGGAAAAGCTCTACTGATATACCTGTACTTAAAAATTTTGTGATGTGAATATATGGGGTGCAGTTTCTAGTCATAAATAAATATAGTTGTGAACATTGCATTTCTGAATTATACCATTTATATGGTGATGAGAAATTCAAAATTAAGAATGTACACATGAATTTCACTGTATTGTATTGAAATATTTCTGTTGGGTTGATGTTTATTAATATTATATAAATACCACACCTGCAGCTATATATGTCGTTGACTTGAATCCTTTCATTAAATCCTTTTGCTTCTAGACTGTCAGTCATTGGTCCATCCAATATACGTATTCCTGAACAAAAATATTAACGATAACATTAATCAACAATTCAACTGAAAAAAAGTGTCTTACACATCACAATAAGTATACAATTTTTTTTTAACTTCATATGATGAAAAAGCCAGTACCAAATGAAGAGGTTCTTTTGGACCTATCAAAACAATTGGCGATCAGATTTAAAGTGACTAAACGTTAGTGAATGAAGACTGAATAATGTGATTTTCACCCTTAGTAACTCACATATTTACATTTATTTAGAACTTCTGTCATAAGATACACAAATAATAAGACATTGAAATTTGTTGCTGTTCATATTCAGTCAAAGCCCCTTTTATCCTTCCTGCCAGATGCAAATATAAAATGTAGTAAAAGACACACTTTTCAAATTTTCAAGCATAATTTCCTTATATTGCTATCATGAAAATTTAACCATTTATGTCATTAATATAATTGTTGTAAATATAATGTTCTAAAAGTAGCAAAACTAGGTAACTGGAAAATAATAAAACTTTTAATTTATAATTTTTTTTTTTTCATTTTCAGCTCATCAGACAACAATTCTAAAATTCTCCTATTATAAATCAAGAAATTATTTCAAAATCATTAAAGGTTCCAACTCCCTCAGGCAAAGTTGACCTTAAGTGGGTTTTTTTTATCTTCTTTTTAGGTCCCTTTTGGTCATACAGCTCCTTAAGCAGTTAAGTATTCAAGGATTTATACCTTGGCTTTGAAACTTTTATGTTTGAGCGTTCTTGGTTAAGGATAATCCAGAACAGTGTTTTTGACACATCAAATTTAAAAGTTGTTTTCATTTACAGTTAAAGAATGTCCTTATTTCTATAATTTTCATAGCAAAACAGTCATGGTACATCATGTACATGTTTTTACATGCTTTTTGGAATGTTATCTCATATCATGAAACTATGCTGGTAGTTCTGTGAATCCTTAACAATCCCAAAATACATTTTGGTCATGGACCTTTAAGAATCATTCAAGACTAGCATATATGACTGTTTTCACACCCTTGGGTAGGTAATAAATATACATCATAAAATACTAACCAGAAACTTTAGCTTTATAAGCGACACCTACAGCACAGTAGTTATTGACTACAGCTGCTATCTCTCCAGCACATCGAGTACCATGATGGTTGTTAGCTAAATAAATAGAAAATGTCAACACTAAAGTTACTGTGATTTTTTTCATTTGTGTATATTTTCCTTTTCTAATATATACAATACTACTTGCCAATTTTATACCTAGATGATTTTTTTCCTAAGAAATAAATGACTACCGGTACTGTAAATTAAGAAATTATTTCGTGCATCTAAAATGGCAATTTTTGAAGAATGGACAAAATTGTGAAATTAATTATTGTGATTTCAGGAAAATCTGCATACAGATATTTGTATCACATATCAGAATGTGAGTTCTTATTATTGTGATACTTTCCCAGTTTTTCACAATAATTCAGACATACCTATTTATATTGGAAATGAAATTAATAACTGAACAAGAGAGCACACGCTGAAATGTCTCGCTTGTTTTACTTATCATTGAATTTATGTTGAAAGTCTGTACATGTATTATGAAGGTTTCACTACAAGTATCACATAAACTTAACATTGACCAATGAACCATGAAAATGAGGTCAAGGTCATATGAACCCTACCAGACAGACATGTACACCTTACAATCATTCCATACACCAAATATAGTCGACTTATTGCTAATAGTATCTGACAAAATCACAAAATCTATAATTGACCAATGAACCATGAAAATGAGGTCAAGGTCAAATGAACCCTGCTATACACTAAATATAATTGACCTATTGCTTATAATTTCTGCAAAATAGACCAAACAACAAAAACTAAAAATTGTCCAATGAACCATGAAATCGAGGTCAAGTTCAGATGAAACTTGTCAGTCAGACATGTACCCCCTTCCAATCATTCCATACACCAAATATAGTTGACCTATTGCTTACAGTATCTGAGATACGAACTTGACCACGTAACTATAACCTTGGTCACTGATCCATGGAATAAGGTTGAGGTCAAGTGAACCCTACCTGACGGACATGTAGATGTTGCAAGGAACCCATCTACCAAATATAGTTATCCTATTACTCTTAATAAGTGAGCATTTCATTTAACAAAAAAAACTGATTTTTTTTAAGCAGTCACTGAACCATGAAAATGAGGTCAAGGACAAAGGACATATGACAGACAGAAACTTTCTAGCATAAGGTATCTGCATACAAGGTATGAAGCATCCAGGTCTTCTACCTTCTGAAATATAAAGCTTTAAACAAATAGTTTACGCCACTGCCGCCGGATTGTTATCCCTATATATATGGTATAGATCACTTAGACAGCAAGCTAATATTAGACACAATTAGATGTCTCTTTTTCGGAATTCTTTTTATAGCAACAGGGAAGAGAACTCCAAAATAAGCAATGACATTTGCTGGTCACTCATAATACCAGCAGTGTATAGAAAGAAACTACCCTTAGACCACAAATATCATTTAATTTGATTTGTTTATCTCTTAATAAAACAACATTTACCAACTCTCCCGTCAGGCATAGGATCATCATCATTAGAATTCAAATCATAACTTCCCTCTTTACTATAGTTTTCTGTGATGTCTGCATTTGTCCATTCTAAACCTGCAAGTAAAAATCAATACATGCGAATAAACAAAAATATTTCAATGCTTCAATGTCCTTACTGATATTCTTATCAGGGTTACTGTAAACATCTAATGCTAATGGAGCTGTGACTTCTTTACAGTATCAACACCCATGAACTGACTAAGTTAAGCCATATGTTTGTGCAAGGAGTTTTATTAGAATAAGAGAGGACATTCTGCTTGATACAAAATTAGCATCCCCAGGAAAGCAATCTGATGATGAAAATGATAAAATATAGAAGAAACTGACATGTTTATCACTCACTTGATATGGCCCTCTGATGGACCAGGCTGTTACCGCAAACATTTTGGGTAAAAAAAAAATATGTTTGTCTATACAGACAGACAAAGTGAAAACTGTACAATTCTTGCAGCCTCAAAACAGGGTCCTAGTTAACATAAAGTTTGACATCTAAGCTGTCCAGTAAAGCTAATAAATTTTCCAAATTAATTACCGTTACCCTTTAAACTCGCTGACAAATTGGCAATCAATAATCTTAACTTTTATTATTGTAATAAAATGCTTCGCTGGGGCGCAGCTTGATACGACCGCAGAGGTCGAACCCTGAACAGTTGGGGCAAGTATGGACACAAAATTCAAGCTTGATACAGCTATGACTTTGGATTGTCATTAAATATTTGACACAGCATAGGTTTCTGACACAGGATGAATGTGGTGTAAGAACTGGAAAAAATTTAATTTACCTATTATGGTGGAATATCCATAAACTAAATTGTTTGTTAATTTCAATATATCAAAGAATATGTAGAATTCAATGTTTGATGTAATGTAATAAAGTTGAAATTTGGACCGTTTTTGTTCAATGTGGACCAATTTGGTAACATGTATAAATAATCAAAAATCTAAATACATGGGAGCCCATTTAAATACATCATAAAGGTATTAAAATAGAAAGTCACATCATAGTCATGGCTAAAAATAAACAAAAATCCTTAATCAGCAACATTTAAAGTAATATCTAAAAATAAAATTCCTTTGTAACCATAAAAGCCCATTTAAATACATCATAAAGATATTAAAATAGAAAATGACATCATAGTCATGGCTAAACATAGCAAAAAACCCTTAATCAGCATCATTTAACAGTAATATCTAAAAATGGAAATTACATCATAAAGGCATTAAAATAGAAAATGACATCATAGTCATGGCTAAAAATAAACAAAATCCTTAATCAGCATCAGCAACATTTTATAGTAATATCTAAAAATAAAATTCCTTTGTAACCATAAAAGCCCATTTAAATACATCATAACAGATATTAAAATAGAAAATGACATCATAGTCATGGCTAAACATAGCAAAAACCTTAATCAGCATCATTTAACAGTAATATCTAAAAATAAAAATTTCTTTGCAACCATAAAAGTAAAATAGAAAATGACATCATAATCATAGCTAAAAATAAACAAAAATTTTTTTTATTGGCAAATTTTAAATGGAGTTTATTATACTAAAACAATAAATTTGCAACCATAAACATGATAAAACCCCATTTAAACACATCATAAAAGTATTAAATAATTCAACTACATCATAAGGCTATAAAAATAGAAAATGACTTCATAGTCAAGGCTAAAGGTAAACAAAAAACCTTCATCAGCAAAATTTTATATTGGCAAATTTCCAATGAAGTTTATTACACTAAAATTGTTGGCAAATTTCCAATGCATTTATTAACAATAAAATTATTGGCAAATTTCCAATTTACATAATTTAAAAGCAGTGTAGATGAGATATTTAAATGAGTTTGAATTACCAACCTTACACTGCTTTTAAATAATGTTCTTTACTCAATTATTTGTCTATTAAAATGGAAACCCTTGTTTTTTAACCTTTTTTCCCCTTATTCCTTAAACATTAGAGCCATAACCACCCCCCCCCCCCCCCCCCCCCCCCCCCCCCCCGCAAAGCCAATTATTACTTTCCAATGTAACCTAAATTTCCAATATACATAATTTTAAATTTCAATTCCTCATGATATATAACCGTATCATTATTATTTTCTTTCATATATAAATCTGAAACAACCATCTTTAAATGGAAAATTTTAAAGAAAAAAAAAGGAAAAAAAAAAATCCTACCCCCCACACATTTTTTCAACCCCCTTTTGATTCATCATCCCCCACCTCAATCACAACCTTCAATTTGTCGTATGGTACATTGCAATACAATTTCACAGAGATCCATACACTTGAACACAAGTTTTTGTTGCAAACTAAAAAAATCCTTATTTTCGACCAATATTTGGCCCCTTATTCATAAATGTTTGAGCAATTAACCCCAAAACTCAATTCCTACTTTCTCTTCTCTTCGTGATAAAAAATAACTAACTTAAATGTAAATTTTAAACAAAAAAAAAAGGAAAAAAAAAAATTACCCCTTTTTTGACCCCCGCCCCCCTTATGATTCATCACCCCCACCCCCCTTTCCCCCCAAACCAAGCTCAATAACAGCCTTGCCTTTGTGGTATGGTACCTTGTAATACAATTTTAGAGAGATCCATACACTTGAACACAAGTTATTGTCTAGAAACTAAAAAATGCTTATATTAAACCCCTTTTTAGGCCCCTTATTACTAAACGTTTTGGGCAATTACCACAACACTCAATTCCAGCTTTCCCTTTGTAAAATGGAACCTTGTAGTAAAATTTCAGAAAGATCCATACACTTACACACAAGTTATTGTCATGAAACTAGAAAAATGCTTGTTTTTTGCCCCCTTTTGGCCCCTTATTCCTAAAATTTTGAGGCAATTAACCCCAAAATCAATCTCAGCATTGACCCTTTGTGATATGGAATCTTGTGGTACAATGTCAAAGAGATCCATATGCTAACACACAAGTTATGTCTGGAAGTTACAAAAATGCTTATTTTCGGCCCCTTTTTGGCCCCTAATTCCTTAACTGTTGGTACCATAACCCCCAAAATCAATCCCCACCTTCCTATTGTGGTATTGAACCTTATGGTAAAATTTCATAGAGATCCATTCACTTAAACTAAAGTTAGAGTGTGAAAACCATTGTGTATTCAGACGACGACGCCGGACGACGACGACGCCAACATCATACCAATATACGACCTCAAAATTTTTTTGCGGTCGTATAAAAAGGAAAGATCATTCTTATTAACAGGGCAGAGCTCTACAGTGATAAGAAGGAATGAGAGGCTCTGAAGAGCCTGTGTCGCTCCACTTGATGTATGTACCTTTTCAACATGCACGACTAGAATATAATTCATGACTTGAATATCTTTTTTGTTGATTTTGTCTTACTGATCATTACGCTCTTTACAATTTTTATTTTTCTAATACAGATCTGGTAAAAAGGACAAAAATAAATGTTGTTGTTTAGGGGCAATAAGCCCAATAGGGAGTCAAATGACAATTTCATCTATTTTGACAAATTTCAACATCTTGTCCTGCTGATCATTTTTCCTTTTTTCAGTGTTTCTTTATCTACTACAAACTTTAAGATAATGAGCAAAAGCACAAAAAATGGTAATAATCTTCATTCAGGGGTAATTACTCATTTAAGGAATCGACCACAATTTAGAATGTTAAGTTATTTGTAGATCTTAACTTGTTGACAATTTTTGCCAATTACATTTTCAAACTATCTATTATAGTTTTCAAGATAATAGGCAAAAAATGTTAAAAAATTATCATTTAAGGCCAATAACTCCTATAAAGAGTTTTCCTACAATTTAATATACCTTTTCACTGTTTTGTAAACTATGTTTGCTATTTCCAGTTTCTCTATATCTATTATAGTTTTCAAGACAATAGGCAAATTTGAAAACATTAAAGGGCAATAACTCCTAAAAGAATGTGTCTGACAGTTTTGGTGTAAATAAACAGAAGGTATATTTCAACATTCTGAACATTTCTTCCCCACCAAGTGATGAGAATAGCTCACTTGACACTAACGGACAGGTGAGCTTAAAAGGGCACAGTGCTGCCTCCTGTGAAAAGGGTCAAGCTGGAACAATGGAAAGTCTTACATATCCCTCCTCCATTGGATCAAATGCTGAAAATTACAAAAAATCCCCTGACTTACCATCATCTACAACTGAAACAGTGATACCTAAACCAGTTATATTGTGTTCCCATACACCAGTTACATTAATATCCATACCACTAACAGGGTTATTCTGAAATAAAGAGGTGTTAGTATTGTTATTTGGTGTGTTATATTATTGTATTCAAATATATTTGTTAATAAGGGAGCTACCATTTGATTTTTATGGGGGGGGGGGGGCTAGGATGAAATTTGAAAAAAAAGGCAGGACAGGAGTTTTGAGTAAAAAAAAAGGCAGGATGAGCAACTTGGCAAAAAAAAAAAAGACAGGATGACAATTTATGGGAAAAAAGTCAGGATAAACTAATAAAAAAAAGGCAGGACAGAGATTACAACTAAAAAAAAAATGCAGGACAAAATTTTTCATCCTAGCCCCCCCCCCCCCCCATAAAAATCAAATGGTAGCTCCCTAATGGCAACTTGAACATTAGCTGTCACCATTAAATGAAGCCCTCAATGTTTTACTTACAAGTATGATGATTAAATTGATTTCAAGCAAGTCAATGCTCATCATATTTCATTAATTCATAATTTTTAAAAGTTTTGATGAATTTGTGTACTACATGTATATGATTTACTCAGGCAATATTACAACATTTCACATATACTGAACTTCTTCAAGAAAAAAAAACCTCTCAATTAAAAAAAAATTTCATGGACATTATGATTAGATATATACATCCCTATCTCCACATGTCAATCTGGAACAAAGTAGCTACAATGTAATATTCATATGATTAATACTTTTTATTCTCCTTAAAAAGCTACTGTAAGTTCACCTACATTGTAGTGTGCATTTAACAATGTTTAACATGTTTAAGTAGTCACTTGAATTAAATTCACCTTTTACATATGTAAAACGTGTCAATATCATATTCTTTTGAAACATCAACGGTCTATAAAGGGAAAAAATAGTTTATCCTTCAACAAATCCAATTTATATTAAATAGCATGAATAAGAAATCTTCAAGAAGTAAACTAAGAAATATTAATAACCACCGTACCAAATGCCACTGTTTGTTATAAGCTGGATCACTGAACTGTATCCTTCTCTTTTCCCTGGAGAAAACTTTCTCTCTGTGGAACCAGACCACATTATCATGATTGTCTAGTTTTGTTTCTATATCATCTATCACAGATTTCAATGTTTTAAAGTCAACATATATAAACTGATTTGTTGTGTTCTGTTCTGTATACTGAGATAAGACATGTCCAAACAGATATATATTTTTTAACTGTCCAATATGTCCAAGGAATGTTAGATTACATTCTGGTGCTACTTTTCTTGCTAGGTTTCTGTCACTTTCAGTTTGACCTTCACTTTGTATGTAAATATTGCCAAATCTATAGAGGTCATCTTGATGGTCATGACTGTGACCTGGAATTTGTTCTACATGTTCACTTTTATTATGTTTTAATTCAATTGTCCATAACAAAGTGTCTTTATAATTGTCTGTGTGAGGAGCAAATGGGATCTGTTTTTTTCTTTCAGCAGGTTTATCAAATAAACAGCATGTTAGACTTAGAAGAAGCAATAACAATATCTTTTCTCCATTATGCATGTCCTGAAATCAATAAAATATTAGAGATCTGTTATTATGGTTATCAATAATTAAAGAACCTTAATGAGCGCGCTCACATACCCCACGTCCCCACATTGTCACTGGAGAAATAAAATAAGTGTAAGAAAAAAAAATTGAATCATAATTTCCTGTCAAAATGCACATCTACATAGTATGTCCTTATTATCTACACAGTTTCATGAAATTCTGTTGTGTGGTTTGAGAGGAGTTGCGATGACAAAAGGTTGCAGTAGTATATTGGGCAAATAAGTTCAAAGGGGCGTAACTCCTGGTAAAAAATTGAATCGTAATTTCCTGATGATATGCACATCTACGTAGTATGTCCTTATTATCTGAAAAGGTTTCATGAAATTCTGTTGTGTGGTTTGAGAGGAGTTGCGATGACAAAAGGTTGCAGTAGTATATTTGACAAATAAGTTCAAAGGGGCGTAACTCCTGGAAAAAAAATTGAATCGTAATTTCCTGTCAATATGCACATCTACGTAGTATGTCCTTATTATCTGAAAAGGTTTCATGAAATTCTGTTGTGTGGTTTGAGAGGAGTTGCGATGAAAAAAAGTTGCAGCAGTATATTTGACAAATAAGTTCAAAGGGGCGTAACTCCTGGAAAAAAAATTGAATCATAATTTCCTGTCGATATGCACATCTACGTTGTATGTCCTTATCTGAAAAGGTTTCATGAAATTCTGTTGTGTGGTTTGAGAGGAGTTGCGATGACAAAAGGTTGCAGTAGTACATTAAAGTAAATAAGTTCAAAGGGGCGTAACTCCTAGAAAAAAAATTGAATCGTAATTTCCTGTCGATATGCACAACTACATAGTATGTCCTTATCATCTAAAAAGGTTTCGTGAAATTCTGTTGTGTGGTTTGAGAGGAGTTGTGATGACAAGAAATAGGACTGACGGACGGACGGACAGACGGACGGACGGGTCAAAAACATTATACCCTCCGCAACTCGTTGCGTGGGGTATAATAAAAACATTGGTAATCAAGAATTAAAACGTTTACATCAATTACCATGATTACTGATTGGAATTGACTGGAAAATATATTAACCAATAATTAGACAGCATGCTAAGTTTTTATTTAGAGCTGATCCAAAAAAAATACCTGTAAGTTGGAACTCCATTGTTATTTTGGGGGATCATCACCATGATCACCAGAATATTTATATTTTGTCAGTTAACCTACTGGTAGATGTAACAATAAAATTAATGAAATTTACCCCTACACATGTATCTATCAAGGTTAATAAATTGAGTGGAAATTGAAAAATCCCGTAATATTTTCCCCTGCAAAAAAAAATGGAATAACTACCAATGCATGTTTCTTTGATTTAATATTTACTATGCCATTATCTTTTGCATATTATCAGACAAAAAAGAAATCAAGGATTTACATTATTCATTGAGCACATGTAATAAACATATATACTGTTCTCTAGTATGTGGTTTTAATGACATCCAATATGTTTTGATGAATTCTGTTTCACTTATATCTATAGAGTTGGGATTTCCTTACACAGCATAACGTAGCATCATACTTTCAGACAGGGAGAATAATTTGGTTTGAAAAGGGACTATAATATTTGTCTAAAGGCATTCAAAAAGGTCAAGATCTCTAAAATAACTTTCAATAAATATTTTTAATAAGTGTATAAATATAATATTTCTGGTGTAACAATCCTTCAATTGATTAATATGGGGATGAAGTCCCCAATTACAGTAAGAAAATCAATAAAATGAAAAAAAAATAAAAAAATACTAATGTACTCAAAATTTTTGACTTTTTTTTCTAACTTTTAGTTTCCCGCCTTTGGGCATAAAACTCTTTTTTCTTCCGGTCTCGTTTGTCACGAGACTTTGGGTAAAATATAGGAAAGATCATCATATTGTTTCCCGCAAATTTGTTGTTTTTGATTACCGAAAGAATACTGCCAGTTAAACAATTAAAATAAATTCCTTACATTTTAAATGATTCTGGAGTTTATTGAACACAAGATTTTATAGCAAACAAAATGTGTTCTCTTGGGGAAACTCACCTGATCAATCAATCAGTCAGATTTCAGTATCTGATAAGAATAACAAGCCGACTTGGTATCTTCTTCGTTTTAAGGATATATAAATTATAACAATTCTTTGATATGAAAAATAAATGTGGATAGTGTCCACATGTGGACACAGATGATGCCCCCGCTTGCATAGCATATAGTTATAAAGGGACATAACTGAAGAACGGTAAAAGTGACACTACCCAAATTTGAACTTGATCTGAGTTTTGTGGTAATAAGCATTGTGTGTAAGTCTCATAACATTTGGTTGAGGATAACTTAGGTAGAGAACAGAAACTAAAAATTCAGCAATTTTTCTATTTGTAAACACGCATAAATCTAGAACGGTTGTGTATAAGTTTTATAACATTTGGTTGAGACAAACTAAAGTTAGAGAACGGAAACGAAAACTTCAGCAATTTTTATGTTTATAAAGGGACATCACTCAAGAATGGTAAAAGTGTTCTCACCAAATTTCGTACTTAATCTGTATTATATAGTAATAAGCATTGTGTATAAGTTTCATAACATTTGGTTGAGAAAAATTTGTACTTGAACTTAGATTTGTGGTAATGAATATTGTGTATAGGTTTCATAATGTTTGGTTGGGGCAACCTTAAGTTACAGAATGGAAACTAAAAATTTTGCAATCTTTCGATTTATAAAGGGGCATAACTCAATAATGGTTAAGGTGACACTACCCAAATTCAACTTGATCTGTGTTTTATCAGTGGAAGTCAAAATTAAACATTGCATTGTATAAAGCATTGATTTTAGTTGATTCAACTAAAATCATGGACAAAGGAAGATAACTCCAATTTTAAAAATTACTTGATATTTAGAAGAAAATAAAAATTTTGCAATTTTTCCATTTATAAAGGGGCATAACTCTAGAATGGTTAAAGTGACGCCACAAAAATTCAAATTTGATCTGTGTTTTGTGGTAATTAGCATTGTGTATAAGTTTCATAACATTTGGTTGAGGCAAACTTAAGTTAGAGAACGGAAACTAAATATTTTGCAATTTTTCCATTTATAAAGGGGTATAACTCTAGAACGGTTAAAGTGACACCACCAAAATTCAAACTTGATCTGTGTTTTGTGGTAATAATCATTGTGTATAAGTTTCATAACAATAATTTTAACATTTGGTTGAGTCAAACTCAAGTTAGAGAACGGAAACCAATTTTGGTACGTACGTACAGACGGACAAGGGTAAAACTTAATGCCCCCTCTGCTACGGCGGATAAAAAACCTGATGACAGCGTTTCTTTGTTTACATTGAAAATGACGTCACAACTAAAATCTCTAACAACAGGACCAACATCGGAAACATTTCCTTATTTCCATTTCTTTAACAAAAGATTCTGAAGTTAATTTTTGTTTGAATTCAAAAAATAATTTATACAGACTTTGTCCCCTTTGACAGGTAACACCTGCCTCATATTACTTTGATAGTGTATTTTTAATAAAAATGGCACATATTTTTAGAAAATGGAACCATTTTTTATGGAACATTAATTTTATTTTGGGTTTTAAAAAGTTAGTAGCCGTGAATATTTTCAATTTTTCAAAGTTTTCATATGTTTGTAGGTTTTTTGTAAATCTGTTTAGGACTATTCATTTTTTAACAAACTTGTTGTAATTTTCATGAATATGTCCTATTTAATTGTCATACAATTGGGAGGTATAGCTAAATGTAAAGCCAGGTTTAACCTACCATTTTCAGTATCAGGTCTTTACGGCCCCAAGTCATTCAGTCTCAAGTCATTTTTTCCCACGTCGATTCGGTCCCTTAATAAAATATTGAATAATTTATATATTAACATTGGAGAATTTGGTGACATTTGATTCAGGGTAAATCGAATTTGCACAAAGTATTGATGATTAATGACAACAGGTAAGTGAAGTATGCCTAATATTGGAGGAAGATTGAGATGAATTATTTTAAATCGATACGAAACATGAGAAAATGAGTATGATTGGTACTGTTTTTAAAGCAGCATCGGCATGTAAATATGAAGTTATTTTCCATGATAACTTGGAATATCATGAAAAATATAGTTTTTACTTAATTCACACATTGAAAAGATATTGATAAATAGATTTTTACAATCCAACGGAACATATAATTAGCATGATTAGTATGTAAGCATCATAATGACTTGTCTAAATTAAATCAATGTCTGTAATTGGTTTGATTATTCAACAATTGTGACTTCTCAGTCAGAGTATTGTGAACCAAAGTAACACGTCGTAATCACTTAATTCAATCAAAATCATGATTGAAACAATTTATTTATCAACAAGATCTTTATAGTTTCTTTTTTTTAAGTTCTTATAAAAACATAATCAATGTAATTGTTTTATACTGTCATGACTGTATAATCATGATAATCATCCATACTCATTTAGGGTGACAAATTGATTTGAATTCAAATATTTTATATTAAAATAATATTATATTTCCGTATGAAATCTTAATATAAATATTTGACATAATGTCATATTTAAACAAGTTAGAGAACGGAAACCAATTTTGGTATGTACGTATGTACAGACGGACAAGGGCAAAACTTAATGCCCCCACCGCTACGGCGGGGGCATAAAAAAAATTCCAATAAATGTCTGATCTAATGAAAATTAAATATTTAAATATTTGTCAAAGGCACACTTTTTTACAGTCCACCTTTTATTTCATTATAAAATTTTATGTATAACAATTCATATATATATATATTTTTGTATCCCTTCTAAATATTTTTTTTATTTGGGCTGGATCGACTTTAAATATGGGGCCGTATGGACTTGGGCTAAATCGACTTGGGGCTGGATCAACATGAAAGCGCCATTTTCTTTGGAAAATGTCTGTGACAAGTCAGGAATATGAAATTAACACTAGAAAAGTATCCATCATTTGAAATTGAGGGATAGTTAGGCATTTGGGGAACTATTTCTCATTTGGCAGTTTGTCCCCGACCTGTTGCATAAAGTAAAAAAGAATATTCTGTCAGAAAAATCCTTCTGACCATTCCCAAAAAAAATCATCATTTTTTTTAATTATGCCTTTATGGTCGTTCACTTAGCACAGACTTAGTGTTTCCTGCAGGAGGTTTTGGCGTGGTATGGCGCCCAGCCTTGTTTTCTTGACGCCCTGCCCTTTTTAGGAAAAAAATTAGGCGCCATGCCCCTTTTCCGTCAAATTTTAGAACGCCCCACCGTAATTTAATATCGGTTCTTTAAGTCATCTTTTAGCAAGACCATTTCGAGTTATTTCCCTTGGAAGGAAATCAAAATTTTAATGGTCGACATTTGATTGAATTTCGAAATTATGTTTGAAAAGTTTTGAAGCGACAGAGTACAAAAACGATTCATGATTGAATCTGATAAGAACAACATCGATTTGTACCTCTACAAATTTAAAATATAGACAATTTTGAAGGGAACCAGGCGATAGTTTGAGTTATAATTTTACCATGCATGGGATGAAAATTACCACTGATTTACGTAAACAATCCGATGTTTGTTTATATTTTCTATTTATACTATTCGTTCGGTCAAGATGTGAATTTACGACGGCTTTCATAATGTTGAACTTAATAAAATTAAAGTTAATAATATAGTTTTGAATAGTACGAAAAATCAACAACGTTTCAATAAAAAAAAACACACAAAAAAAACACAGATGGAAAAAAGATGAAAGCAGAAGAATATGTATAGTGAGTCTTGCTATACAAATCTTTGAATATCCTAAAAATATTTGTACAGTTATGAGCCAAGGTAAATTTGATTGGTATAAACATGCGAGATCGAAAAGGTATTTAGCACTTCTTTTGTGCATCTAAAAAGCAATGCATAATTTTGCACATGTTCACAACACATCCTTAGACAATCAGTCTCAGTGTATTAAAGTTTATAACTGGAGTTATTGATTGAAATGAGGCAGTTGCACAATGAACATGATCAAGATTCTATTAGCTGAGTCTAGAAATGACAATTTTGTTACTAAAAGGAATTAAATTAACAACCTAATATCAATATACATATCTTTATTTCTTACCAATAAATATGAAACAATGGTATATTCGATTAAAACCCTATCCATTACCATGTGATAACAGTGTCTTTATACATGTATCTATGTAAAGAGTGCCATAAAAGTGTAGTCCTCCGCGCAAAGGGTGCCCTTAAAATGTTGCCAATCGCGCTAAGAGTGCCCTCTGAGAAAAAAAATACCGAATCCATGATATCTCGGCCTATAACAAAATCGGACTATAACAAACTCGGCCTATAACATAATCGGCCTCCCAAAATCGGACTATAACAAACTCGGACTATACCAAACTCGGACTACTAGAAGAATATAAGTATGATGTTTTATTTTGTTTTTATTTGAAATTATTTATCAATACTTAATTTGAAATTAATAATGATTTACAATTAATTAAGTAATTTATTTTGAACATTTTAGAAGCGAGTAATATAAATGACATTAACAAGATATGTATAAAAAGAAAATTAAGAATACATTCATTTAATAATGAAAATCTACCACTGATTTGTATTTCTGTATTATAATTTGTAATAATGTCCCTCTCAAAATAATTTATCATATGCATATCTTAATTGATTCAACTGGAAATATGACATCATGCCACGTGTATTGTTGACACCTTTTTAATCACCATAATTTAAACTAACAACTGACACGTGTACTATTGACACCTATGTAATCACCCAAGTGAGAACAAAACTACCTGTAATTACATGAAATTGAATTTGTGATTAACTAAATATCCAATATTCAGTATTTTCGCAGTAACAGCTTGTATATAACTGATGTTTTCAGGTTCCTTTTTTTTTTGTTTGATTACAAATTTTATGTGATTATAAGACAGTGCAGTGAATTGTATGTTTCTGATCATACTTTGTTTGGTTGAATCTCAGTGTGATTTATCTGTACAATGTAATACTATATATATATATATAATAAAGAAAACATAAGGTTTACAAATTTTATATCAGCAGATGTCAACAAACATATATATAACAATGATTTCGTCATTCAATAATATTTAATTACAAACGAATAATATGAAGCATATATAAAACACATAAAGCACCTTTAAAACTCAAAGGCATTTTGTCATCATCTACAAGACAGACAAAATGCAAATATAAATAATCATTGTCAAAGCACATTATATTATATATAAGCTAAGTTTTATTTTAATACATTTATATACAATGTTTTTTTCAAAAATATTTATCATAATCTCAAAATTCGTATATAATTCTTATATATAAAGTTTGTTTTTTATTAAAGTGAGAAAAAAAAAACCCACAAAACAATCTACTAATCGTAGTCCGAGTTTGTGCAATATATTTCCGCATATAAATAATGGTAGGCCGAGTTTGTTATAGTCCGAGTTTGTGATAGTCCGAGTTTGTGATAGGCCGATTTTGTTTTAGTCCGAGTTATCCAGCAGCGAAAATACCCTGCCCTTTTCAAAAGCTGCAGGAAACACTAAGACTTAAGTCTTTGGGATATTGGGTAACACCTGCTTTAATCAGAGCTTGATCTGTACTATCAAAGAAGCTTTGCAGGTGCACAGAAAAATGGAATCCCATTTTGGAATCTTTTAACATGCCTTGCCATCAATGCGCTTACAATTCACCTGTGTTTGATATCAAATAAGGATTTGTAGTCGGCAAAAAAAATTAAAACGGAAGTTGTTTTCTACTACTATCTGCATCTCTTTGGCGCTTTGTTTTTACCAATAACCGAAGTCGCTTGTAAAATAAAGAGGACTACCGGTACATCGTAATAAAAAAAAACTTTTGTCATTATTTCTGGGTGTGTTTTATTTTTTATATCAGAAATTGGAAAAGAGGAATATGCAGAGATTTTAAATGATATAACAGTCACACGAAACACTAGAAAATACTAGTAATATAAATTTAAAGTTGAAAGGTATAATTTTATGATAATTCAATTCAATTTAAACTGGTTATGATGTTAAAGTGGCTACAGGTGGAAACAACTGGACACTTCTTCTTCTTCCTGGTACGGGAAAGACTCCGGTGCCTGAGTGTGAAATATCCCGGAACTGTTGCGCTATGTACATGCAAATGGATGTCGAAAATTGTGATATAATAAAATAAAATATTTGCCACAGTTCAATTACAATTTAAAATTGACACAACGTTACTTCTATCGAAAAATAAGAGAAACAGGATCGGGCTTCAGGAGGACACAAGTGGATTCAGTGCTATTTAAATTTTAAAGAAACCTCTTATTTGCTCCATGGCTAAGTCCTAGAGCCGTACATGTATAGCATTATAATGCCAAGTTAATTCACTATTGGTGTCTATACATCTAAAGTGGGCAATAGCTGCCATATTCCTTTTCACCAATTTGACAAAAATTCTCATATTTCATTTATAACATACTAAAACGTATATACAAATTACAAAAAGTCCAAAAGTAGCAATCTCAGCTGATAACTGTGTATGGTCTTGCTATAATGTATCAGCATTTCGTACGTATTTTAGACCAGATGCCATCTATCTATCCATCGAGATGACACCCGAAGACTGCCGACAGTCATATAACCCGATGTGAACATTAATATAAAAATAAATAGAGAGCACGTGCAACCGGATTTGATTCCATGCTATAATTAAGTTGAAAATATGTGTAAAGCATCGTTTTACCTGTATAAGAATGATGTTTTTGGTGGGCCGAATCAGTCAACGCATTTGGTATGCAACTCAGTGTATAAACGATGAACTCAATAATACTATAAAGCATTTAACAGGACCTATTTGAGTATTTATTTTAATATTTGACTGTTGTGTTTGGTGTCTGTTTATTGCCAATTTGAAAATACAGCTAATTTTAGTGTATATATTGAGTTATAATTGCGGCATGTTACGTGTAAAAACTATTAATTGTCTTAAATTAAGTCTCTTAAAGAAATTATTCGAGTATCAATATTAATAATTATCTGTCACTGCTACAAAATGCACTATTCATATTTGATGTCTCACTGTGTATGTCAGTAATGTTTTTAACCCAGGAAGTTAACTTTAAGCATATTGAAATTTGTCTATAATAAGAGTTTCAACTTCAATAAGTACCTTTGCATTAGTCAATATTGATCCGGGGACGTATCATATGTTGACAGTGTTACATGTCTCTGCTTAAACATAATCAAAAGTATCCACTTGAACTTTATCCAGATAAATAGTTCTGGTGGAGAGTTGTCTCATTGGCAATCATATCCCATCTTCTTATTTTTATATAGTATATAAATAACATAATATATAGCTGAGTGGGTGATGGAGCAGATTGTTACCCCGAGAAAAGATTGTCAACCAGGGCGAATTTTCTGCCATTATTGTCTTTTCAATTTTAAAGAAAGTAATTAACTATGACGTCATGTACATTAAAACGTGACAGTTTTTAGATAAAACAACCAAAGTGAAGCTAGATGTATCATTTATTTTGACAGTCTAAGAAAAGTTCTGGAGCTAAAACGTAGAACTTCAACGTTGTCTTTAAAATTATTGATGTCAATTCAATTCATTGTCATTTGAATTATCGATTTTGATCTGCACGAATGGGGGACATTCTAAAAATTGTCTCCCGCTGAGCCATGGGATAGAGTGAATTATCTCCCTTGTATTAGCCAATGTAAATCTGGCATTTTAACTAAGTATAATAAATACTGATAATAAACAGTTTCTTGAATTATTTTTTTACCATTACATAAATTTTCAACATAAATAGATTGAAATGATCATTCATATTAAATGCCGTTATATTTTTATAGTATAATATTTTCTTGGTGGAATATTCGTTTTCACCTGTTGCATGTCTGGGTTATTTATTCCACATGAAAATGTATTTTGATTTCTGAAAATACTGATTATTTCCTGCATTTCGTTCGTCAGAAAAACGATTTATATGGTTTTAACAGAGACATATATACATGTGTATATATATGTCTCTGGTTTTACTTTACAAATCCTAGGGCAGAATATATTTCATTTGCATCCTTCCAGTTATTTTTTTTTTCTCAGTTCTTCAAAGGCTATGATATTCATTTCCTAAATCCTAAAACCATTCCGCTCTCTAAAATGAGATGGCCGTTTCATCACTTTGGCATTTACCATCATATTTGGTTTTCTATAAATTAAAAAGTTTTATTAGTCGTTCTGACTTTACTCATTTTTATTACAACTAGGCGGTAATTAACTTCATCTTATTTAAAGCGCCTTTAAGAAACAGAACTTAATATGTTATTGAAATTATACATTTTAATAAAAAAAATAATTGTACTATACAAATCCTTTGTTTTCTAAATCAAATCATAATTAACTAAATTAAGATAAATAACATTACCAACATTTTAAATTTATTATTTTATAGAACTGGTCTTCCTAATCATTACTAAGCTAGAAAAGTAATATGTAACCTGGTTTCCTACAGGAACCAGTAAACAAAATTCTTTTTTAGGCAAAATGGCCGGCGTTGATTCAACTGACGATTCTCTCTATCCAATAGCTGTTCTGATAGATGAATTAAGAAATGAAGATGTGCAGGTAGTCCACCGTTAACATTTTTATTTTGTAAAAAAACTGAAAATGATTAGTTCTCTCTGTTTAAATTGATATTTGTGGAAGTATTTTTATTGCTTTTCACAGGTCAAAAATATTTTGTTTTACACATAATTCCAGGGATTATAGCCAAAGTTTGGTGTAAAAGTCAATGATGTATATATTTATTGTCTTCCTTGATCCAGATTATAAACCTTTAGACAGATGTCTTACATAGATAGAGGAGTCTAGTTTTGTAGGTTTGTGCATTATCCAAATATGTGCATGTATTTGAAATACTATGTCGTGTATTTGATAGGGGTGCAAAGGATTATGAAAATGAATTTTCTAGATTTGTAGGAACTGAAAATAAAGAAAACAGAACAGAATGAAAACGAATATTTTACCCAATAAATGCTGAATATGAAAGTGAAAGTAAATTAACACAGAGCCAAGCTTGCAGAAAACAATAATCAAAACTTGTTAAAGGCAGTCATTTTGCTAGCGCTCTTCATTTACAAAATGGTTTTCAAAATGACGAAAGTATTTGAAATCAATTTCGTCACTTAAATTTGGACAGAGTCAAAATATTTTTGCATGAAAATACTATAATTTTACCTGTCTTCTTGTTTCTGACAAGTTTATGACCCTCAGCTAATTAATGTTTACCACAGGTATTAAAATTTGTGATTACAGGTAATCTGCTAATCGCCATCAGATGGGTCACTAATCCGTTAATTGACCATCATAATTATTTTCCCAGTAAAATCAGTCAGTCGGCATTTCAATTTCAATATTTTTTTAACAACCACAATTTGCAGTTCGTTAATCGTAGTTTCGTCATTTGAACAATATTGTTTATCCCCAGACAGTTCTCATGTAAATTTCAATATTACTCAAACGATCACAATTTGCAGTTCATTTTTTCGTTGTTTCGTCATATGAAGTATTTTCATCATATATTTGATATAACTTGTCATCATGAATCAACCAGACCAACTCGCCAAACCTACGAACAGAAGAATAATCCTGATGCATGAAAGGCCTGCCAACTAGCCCAACTTATGAAAAGGAGTTTAATCTTAAGCAATCGCCCCAACTTTAATGCTCAAATAACAATACACAAAAAACATTGAATAAAAATTAAAATTAAATGATGCATTTTCTGTTGATGCTTCATTTATTATTATGTAATTGTTGTAATTTATTTAGGAATAATTTTATTTTTTCAATCGGTTTGAAAATGAAAATAAAAACCGTACTTGATGTAGCAAGCTTACATATTTGCATAGTATGGTAAGGAAACCAGTTAATTATATCATAATGCAATATATTATCTTAACAATTTAAGGATTTCAATTTAACAGCATTTTTTTTTTATACCAATTAATTAATGAATTGAGAATATCTTTAATGAGCAATCAGTGACATATTTTCTTTTTACTAGTGTGGCGAGTTGGCAGGCCTTTATTCATCGGGACTAAACTCCTTTTCATAAGTGGGCCCAAATTCAGCTGGGGCGAGTTGGTTAAGATGAGTGGAACTAGTTGGTAAAAAGTTGGGACAAGTTGTCATGATGTTTCCTTTGAAGATTATAGATTTCATGAATTTTCCACTTAATGACAAATTTTTCTATAATTTGCTTACATTAATTAATTATCCCTTTCTGTTCTGTATTAATTGTATTAGTGTGCAAGGCCAGTAAGTAAGTGTGCCAAAGCTTTAAAAAGTACCATTAGGAATTTTTCTATAATTATATGTTCATTAACTACTCTATCATTAAGACAAAGGTCAACACTTCTAAGAGCTCTGGTTTGACTCTTATTTTAGAATGATTAACCTAAAAAATCTCAAGGGGGGGGGGGGGGGGGGTGTGAACAAGTCTTTGTCTCAATGTCTGAACATAACATTTCAAAGTAAATGTCCTAGAATTCTGGGCTTAAATTTGTTTTTCTTGTTATTGTAGAAAGATTAAAGATGACAGGATATGGCCGTGCTTTCATATACTTTTCTTTAATTCATTTTCCCTAAATAACTGCTCAGTATTTGATATCAATGTGACATTTTCTATTTTGTAGATACGCCTTGTTAGTATTAAAAAGCTGTCGACAATAGCATTAGCACTTGGTGTTGAGAAAACAAGAAGTGAACTTATTCCATTTTTAACAGGTATGTTGTAAAACATGATGATTGCTACAGAAAGAAATATGCATTTCTGCATGTATGCAGATTTCATGAAATTCATCAAAGAATTGTTGAAAGTTTGGTCAGACAAACATCAATGGTTCATCTGAGCTACCAAAAATCCTGTGGATTGAATGTTAATGATAAAATTTAAAACGATAGTGGGTGCCTATATTTGACAGTATAAAACATCTTTCAAAGCATATGTAATTTTCTTGGATGGCATAGTGTAAAAGCTATGTAGCTCTAAAAACATTTAAAAAAAATGAGATAAAAACATAGCATATAGAGGTCTATAAAGATTATGTACGTACACATAGCATATAGAGGTTTATAAAGATTATGTACGTGTTAGAGTATTAGATAATTTGGTTGCCTTTTTTGTTCCGTTGCGCCGGACATAGAAATTCCGTACGTCCGTATGTCTTGTTAGCGCTCTTACGTGTACAATTCTTGCCTGATTTTATATCAGCAATATCTTTAACGATTTCGAAAATTAGTGCCGATCAATTATTTTTTAAATGAGTTATGCCCCTTGGTAACATTGATTTTATGGAAAATTGCATTATAAGTGATCTCGCATGTACAATTTTTGCTAGATTTTTATCAAATTCATATCAAAAGGTATATAAGATTGGAACTCTGTTCTTTTATTCATCTGGCCAATTGATAATGAATTATATTTGTTAGGCATATATAAATGTCATTACATATGTGTAATAGAAATGAAACATAATTGCTTTAATTTCAAAAAGTTTAGTTTTGTTCAAAAATATGAAGTTTGTTATTATTTGAATATTTTGACTATGTTTTTTTAGGTTAATATTTAATATTTAACATATTATTTACAGACACAATCTATGATGAAGATGAAGTTTTATTAGCACTTGCAGAGCAGTTGGGACAGTTAACTCCCCTGGTTGGAGGGCCAGAATATGTACATTGTTTGTTGGTAAGCTGATTTTAGATATTATTGTGAAAATATAATGATATTTTTATTGCAGAGTGAAATAATTATTTTGGTAACAATAATGGAAAAATTAATTGTGTCAAAACATTTCAATTAACGAAAATTTATAACTCAAAAAATAAATTCTTATCACTACAAACATGTTAACTCTAACTTCTTAGAGTAAATAAGTTGCTGAATGACTATACAGTTGATACTTTTTATTCAAGTACATTTTTTTTTAAATATCCAAAAAAAGTAGATATTTCTATCAATACTTTTATATCATTAAAAAGTGTTGATTGTTTTGTCAGTTCAAGCATAATTTAGTAAAGTATTTACCATGTAAGCTGTTGAGAGTTCAATAAAACTTTGAAAAGAAATAAAATTTAATGAAAAAAGAGTGATGTTTTTTTTCTTCTAGATTTTGAGGCAGGTTATTAATTTTACAAAATACACAGATATGGCATACTTCTCAAAATTGACCCTTGAAAGGTTACTTTATGAAAATTTTTACTTTAATGTACTGATTTCCTTTGACCCAGTAGTTAGCCTTTCTTCAAACCCTGACATGCCTGATACAACCTTGATATTTTAAAGTTTTACATTTAATTAAAAGTAATATACTTCATCAAATACAGATGTTCTTACATTTACTATAATACTGTTGTTATATATAATTACTAGGGATGTCAACGAGTACTTGAGTATCGCTCGGTAGTACTGAGTATCGATTACCAAAATGATACTCGACTAATCAGTTTCCTGTAAGAATGTTGTTGCTTTCTTGCTTTCTTAAGCTAAAACAACAAAAAAAAATTTTTTGAGAGCGCCTCCCGGGAAATTAAATATTAATCAAAATTAATAAAACTTAAAATTCGATTCGAATGTTTGTGTTTAAATGTCATTTAAAATTTCTCCAAAGAGAGGTAGGATATATGAACAAGAGCATGTTTCCAAGGCTTACACCTTTGGCTGATCTTAATTATTCTCTACGGTAAGAGTATATATTTTCTTCAGCAGGACTGTTAGTTACCTAACAAAGATGAGATATAGCCTCGTCCCAGAAAAAGTATACAAGATAATATTTTTCAATAAGAACAAATTCGTTGCACCCTGTGTTGACCCTCAGAAAAGGATTAAGTTCTAATCATCACCCCTTTGGTGATCATTAAAAGTGTTTTTTACCGTTACTGTTGTTTGAGTAATCATTTTTCTATAGATATTAATTAATTACTTGATTAGATTATTGTCAGCTTACATAATCAGTTCATGTAGTAAATGAATTATTAATTATGATATAAAATTCCTTGGATTATTATCTAGTCCTTAGTAATAATGTTGAGGGTTTAATGTTTATAATGCAACGACCCACAATACATAAAATGGATATAATTCTGTGTTTCCATTTTGTAAATATAAAATGCTTGACTGAGCGAGTACTCGAGTATCGCTCGGAAAATCCTACGAGTACTCGTTTAGTTTATCTTCACCGAGTTGACATCCCTAATAATTACCAATGTCTGTGGATTGAGGAAAATTTGTATTTTCTTAGTTTTTTCCAAAGCCTGCATACAATCCTTTAGAAAATACTTACTTCATTGAACATTTAAATTATAGGTTCATATATACCCATGAAATCTACAGAAATTGATTTCCCACAAATAATAATGAATCCACAGTATTGTACAGTTATATGTTGTATTACAGCCACCATTAGAGAGTTTGGCCACTGTAGAAGAAACAGTTGTACGTGACAAGGCTGTAGAATCTCTCAGGACTATAGCAGCACTACATAGTCCTGCTGATTTAGAGAACCATTTTGTTCCTCTTGTAAAAAGATTATCTGGAGGTAGGTATTACTATTTTATGTTGAAGAGATCTAGTCTCTTATTTTGACTTCACTTATTTTTTGTGAAACAATCTGAAAACAAGTACTGTACAGGGTTGTAAACAGAAAGTGAAAGATTGTATCTTTTATGTTCTTGTGATTATCAGAAGGTTAGAATAACTGTTTTGGAGATAGATTAAGTACTGTCTCACAATTTAATCCTTGTGTAGCACCGTTTGATTAATTTATGCAGAAATAATAAAAAAGAAATCACAGACATTATGTTGGGATATACTTTAATTGATAGTTCTTTTCTCATTGATAATATTGCACTACATCTTCTTTGTATTATCTATAAATATTGATTGATTGTTGGTGTTTAACACCACTTTCTGGACTCTTGTCTATATCATGGCAACCAGCTTTATATTGGTGGAGGAAACCAGAGTTTTCGGAGAAGACCACCGACCTTTGGCATGAAAAGTATTTATAAAGACGTCTTTAAAAGAACTTATCAATTTTTTTGTACAAACACTACATAAAAGATTTTTCATGTCTGTTGCAGGTGATTGGTTTACATCCAGAACTTCAGCATGTGGTCTGTTCTCAGTATGTTATCCAAGAGTGTCAAACTCAGTAAAAGCAGAACTTAGACAGTAAGTATGATAAACTGAAAGAAATGAAGTCCGAAATTTGGTCTATTTGATAAAAGAGGAGTTTGTGACCTGTATTGGTACAAACCAGGACTGCAGAAACCTTTCATGGTTATCTTTACTAGAGAAAGGAAGCTGTTCAATTTGTTGTTGGTGACCTTGAGGTGTATTTGTTTCTTCTGTTTTTGGAAGTACCAAACAATAGTCCTTAAAGAGACAGGAGTTATGCATATCATATTATAGTCAAAAGTTGTATTTATGCCAGTTCTTAGAGATTGCAAAGTTCATTGGGAAAAAATGCAAAGTTCAATTGGAAATATTGCACTTTAAGTTATATTAAGAGAAAAATTTCAAAATATATTTTATGAAAAGAATAATTCAATGACAAAATGAATTAAATCTAAATCAGTTTGAATACTGTTTGTAGTGATAAAAGTGACAAGATTCAGTAGGCTATAAATCATCCTTCAAGATATCAGAAATAAAAATGTGTATGAATTGTAAAATCATTGAAACTATTCCCATTACAGACACTTCAGAAATTTATGTGGTGATGATACCCCTATGGCTAGGAGAGCTGCTGCTGGTAAGCTTGGAGAATTTGCTAAAGCTGTAGAACTGGATATACTCAAGTCAGATCTCATCCCATTGTTTACTGCTCTAGCACAGGATGAACAGGTGAATCATGTTTATTTTATTTAAAACTTTTCAGAATAAAATACATAGTTAATTATTATTTCCATGTTTATAGTAGATCTACATTTTATAAATGTGATAGCATAGTGGAGCATGGTGTCCAATGAACATATTCTTATTCTGTTAGACATTGCCACATTGTGTTTGTAACATACTAAGAAATACAGTTACATGTACCATGATGGAACCAAATCACAGACATGTATATGCGTGAAAAAGAGATATTTATCAAAATTTAGTAAATCACCTTTTGGTGATAAGAAAACTTAGAACATTTATACTAAAATGTCAAGGTACAAATGTTGTTAAACAGTTTCTAATTGTTTTATGCTGTTGTATAAAAATATAAGTACAACTGTATACAGTACGCACAGAGAGTTTGTAATCGCGAACTCTAATCACGGATTTCGGAGTGTAGCGGTGTCACACCGCGAATCACGGATTATACTCCCAATTTCCTCCAAAGATTCTCTCCCAACACCGCGTGGCTGTTAATTGGTTTATTGCCCATCGGATGTACTGAAAATTAATGACGCGTGACAACATAATCGGATTAGCCAGATTTATTACCTTTGTACATTTAATCGATCTTGATTGCACCTGTGTGCTTTAAAACACTGTATTAAAATTTCCTTTCTTTGACAGATAAAAATGTGACATTTTCATTCAAAATAAGATAATTATTCTTGTATGTATTTGCCCCATGTCATTGTCATTTGAAATAAAACATACAATCGTATAAAAATACGAATAAAACACTTATTTTGTATTTTTATTATAGTCCGGTCAGGTCATAATTTTTGTTTTTTCAACAAAGACGATTACAACAAAGACGATTTTACTACAATTAGAATCTTTTATGACCTACTCAGTGAGCAATATCCGGTTCATTAATTGTTCAATATATAAGTATCAACTGGCTTAAAACAAAATGATGTTTTTACGGTAATTTGTCCAATCTAAACCCAAGAGTTAATTTATCGGATCAACAAGTGAACTCTGTTACTTTCAATTTATTTTGCAATGTAAAATATTATGTTTCACTACTTCGGTAGATTACCGACTTGAAATAATTGAACTCAGAAAAGAAACTGTAAAGTGACAACTCTGTTGAACAAAGGGAAACGTTTTGTATGCAATGTGCCCTATATTCATAAAAACACAACACTGAGAGACATTCCCCGCCCAGACACAACACAATAATATCAACCTAATTTAATTATATGAAGAAAAAAAAATCATGTGTTGTTTATCTCTGTTATGATCTGTTATTGATCCTTTATTATTTAAAATAAAATTGGATGGGCGCAATCCGTATTTTACTGCTCGTTAAAAGTCCTTGGCGAAATAAAAAAAAGAAGTACTTCAACAATTAATACTATAGAATATTTAAATGAAATTATATCATGTTCTACAAGAAAGAAATATGTGAAAAAAATGTGGATCGGATTTTTACGATCTACACATTTCACAGAGGATCTCTACCAACGCCCAACAGGAACTGAACGACATGCATCCTGTTTTCTACCATTTATGTATATTGTTGACCGTGGACGTATAAATAATGTCCAGGTTTATGTCCTGTGTTGACTGAGAAACGTAAAATTAAAAGGCTGGTGTTCATTTATTCAGAAAAGGATTATATTTTAGATTCCGGTTAATCAATTGTAAAAGGACCTTCTAGAGCCTCAATCTTAAGGCATACAAATGTCAATCATTCCAAAGCAAATTTAAACCCCGAATGAATTTTTCCACGGTCATCCAGAAAGGTCACCTGAGTTAACTGTTACGTGATAATATTTCCCGCCAAATAAAAATCTCGTGGACAAAATTGATGTCACTATTTTTAGCATTCAATATTGTGAGCGAAGTCAAGTTCAAAGTTCAACCACGGACTGTTGATCACTGAGATGTGTATCGTCTTCCCACGGCAATTAATTTCTTTTAAAAATTTTTTAAATCACTGTCCTTTATACAACACACAAGTTTACATTCATTGTGCGTAAATGAATATTATGCAACGACGAGTTGATGCAGCTATAGAAGTATTCCTGTTGTAGCCGAAATGTAATTATTTATCCTAAAGTAATGCCAACAAATCGTAAAGAGTAAATGCCGTAGACTTATTAAGCATAACGAATGGTGAATAGTATTTTCTTTTTTACTTGCATATTCAAATTTTGAGACACGTAATTTTCTTTAAACTGCTCACTTTTATATTCAGCGTTAGTTTCCGTTTATTTTTACGCAAGTATGTCTCTTTTCGTAAATAAAATAATTTACCGATGAATTTAAACAAGGTCAAAATCAAGTATAGTTTTTGTTATAAAACTTTAATGCAATTGAAAAAATTAATAACAACATTCTGCTTTTAAATCTTTAATTTGTTTCAAGCAATTATGAAATCGTAAAATGAAAATGGCGTGGACTTATTAGCATAACAAATAGTGAATAATATTTCTTTTTTACTTGTATACAAAACTTTGAGACATGTAATTTTCCTTTAAACTGCCCACATTTATTCAGCGTTAGTCTCCGTTTATTTTTACACAAGTATATCTATTGTAAATTAAATATTAATTTACTGACCAGAAAAAAACGAGGTAAAAATCAACTATAGTTTTTTTTTAATAAAACTATTTTTAAATGTACAGTGTAATTGAACAACAACGTTTTGCTTTTAAATCTTTTATTTGTTTCAAGCAATCAGAAATATAACCTGATTATCAATAGACAGGAAATACAATTGTTTAATTACATAAGTAATCTCACATACCTTGACTGTCGCGTGCCGTTATAGATCAGAAGGATTAGGGCAATTAATTACCTGGTGTGACACCGCGTCACACCGGACTGGGAGAGATGTCGCTAATACAATAAACAAATGGTAGCGAATTTACGCGGAAGTCAGAGGGAATACTCCCAAATTTCTCCGAGAATTTAGGGAGGGATGTCTGAGTTTCCTGGTGTCACACCAAGAAAAAACTTGGTGTTCGGAGTTTGGGAAGCCTTTCGCGAAATTTGTACTGTATATATACTTGTGGATCTTAGAAGACCACAGATAAAAAAAATGGAATATCTTCATTCCTTTCAAATTTATGTGCAAATACATGAAAAAGTTAAAAATACTGGTTAGAAATGAGCATTATAGTTCAATCGAGATTGTTTTAGTCCCCCTCCATTTGCAACGGGGTCATTAAGTGTTGCCCTTGACTGTCCGTCCCATTTTCATTCTGTACTCTTAACAAGTTTGCCTCATGCAAATTTTATGAAACTTATACACAATGCTGAGAACAAAAATTTGCAGACAGAGTTTGAATTTGGGCAGTGAGTTACTTTAATATGGTTATAGAGTAACTTGGAAAATTGCATCCACACACTAACTGAAGTTTTTCTCATACATATTTTATGAAACTCATACAAATTTTATGAAACTTATACACAATGCTGAGAACAAAAATTTGCAGACAGAGTTTGAATTTGGGCAGTGAGTTACTTTAATATGGTTATAGAGTAACTTGGAAAATTGCATCCACACACTAACTGAAGTTTTTCTCATACATATTTTATGAAACTCATACACAATGCTAAGAACCAAAATTCGCAGACATAGTTCGAATTTGGGTTGTGAGTCATTTACCGTTCTAGAGTTATGCCCCTTTTTAACTTGGAAAAAAGGCAAAGCTTGAGCGGGACCATTCGTGTCCTCAGACACATTCTTCTTTTATTTTTTTTTATTTTTTATTTGTGAAAGTAATATTGAATTGCCATGGCAATCCTATTGTAATATCTATAAAATTGATTAGGCACTGCTTAGAGATTTGGTAGTTAAACTATTGTTAATAGTTCTAAGCATATTCAACTAATGTTTGATGTTACAGGACTCTGTGAGACTATTGGCCGTAGAAGCTTGTGTCAGTATAGCATCTTTATTACAAGCAGAAGATACAGAACAGTTTGTTATGCCCACTCTTAGACAGGCTGCAGAGGATAAATCATGGAGAGTCAGATATATGGTAGCAGATAAATTCACCGAGGTACATACATACCAAATTTAGTTCAAATATGAAAATGTTGTATGTTTTGCACAATGATTTAGTGGTAAGAACAAAGATTGGTTCCATCAGAGTTGGAATAATAAATCTTATTATCACACCTCAGGGTAAATTAGTGACAATTAGATTGGTTTAATGCTGTTACATGGTAATCCCCTATGGATCTGTAGGGGCTCAGTAGATTTCATAGGGATATCATGAGGTCACATCTACTATTATGGTTAATGTATTTCATTGTTTATTTTTAACATTTAAACAAAACTTGGAAGGAAAAGTCTCCTGTGGGATAAATTTTTTATACAGTTCATTACTGACCCCCTTACAGATACCAATGATTTTTAACAGCTCATATCAGCTTTGAATTTAACCATGGGTTAGAAAAATTATGGATGATAAATCCTGTTACTGAGAGACCTGTTTATCCAGTGTATGTCTTTAAGTTGAGTCATGAATATTACTCTATTTACATCTTAATATAAAAATGTCAGAAAATATTAATGAATGAAAGTAAAAGATCAGATTTAAAAAAAAAACATATGCCTACCCTACGCTGTAGTAGAATCAAAAATGGGTATTCAGGTGGCAGTAACTATACTTGTCTCTACGTTATAATATATCCTGTTGAGATTACTGCAGTAAAATAAGTAACATACCAAAACTGAATCTTTTAACATTAATTTTATCCCTACATTTTTATTTGGTTGGGAAACATCATTAATGATAATTCTATTGTAAGAATTGAAAATTTTGATTTTAATATGTAATTTCAGCTACAAAAGGCTGTTGGTCCAGAAATCACAAAGACAGACTTAGTGCCAGCTTTCCAGGGTTTACTGAAGGATTGTGAGGCAGAGGTTAGAGCTGCATCTTCTCATAAGGTCAAAGGTAAAAATGTTTAATTAAAAATTAATAAAAAAAAACTCTTTAATTTTTACTTTTAGTTGTAAGTTGTATTTCACTGCTTATGAAAATAAAATTTATGGAATATTGATATAAATTATTGAAATGAAAAAGAAGTTTGTAAAAAAAATTAATGATTTCCCAGTGACTTGAAAACTATATTTCTTAAATTCTGTATTTTCTCTCTTCTATTGGCATACACCAATAATTGTTGCCCAGACCCCAAATAAAAATTGCATCAATTTGAATCCTTGTATTAGTTACCTGTATTCTGTAAATATTGGTACGAAGTAATGCTAGTATTTACAGTTAAATATCTTTTTTGTTGGGTGTGTGAAGATAATTTCAGAAATATCTGAACTTTGAACCCTATATAGACTGCCTTTAAATAGAAGTTTAAACTTCATAACTTTTTTTTTGTAGAATTTTGTTCCAACCTGTCTCCTGATATCAGAGAATCTGTGATTATGACAAACATTTTACCTTGTGTCAAAGATCTAGTGTCCGATGCCAACCAACATGTCAAGTCAGCATTAGCCTCAGTGATCATGGGGCTGTCCCCAATTCTAGGAAAGGACAAGTAAGTAGTGATTTTGACTAAAACATTTAACCTGATAAAACCCTGAGTGTGTTCTATAAAATGTCTTAAAATAACTCTAACCATATTGCAGACTAGAACTCGTCACATATAAAATTATACTCATATGGTAAACTTTAATGCATTTTAACCATTTTGTGCATGTATACTGAATTATTATTTATTTGAATTCTGGTTATATAATTACAAATGTCACATCCTGAATTTTAGATATACACCATTTGAAAGCCACATTTAAAATAGGGCTTAAATAATCACAATTCTCAAAATTATGGCATGATAAATAAAAAAAAGTTCTGACTTTTACAGCAAGAATGCATTCTTAAGACTAGGTTTTCAAGAATTCATGGAATTCTTATCATAAACAAGTAGTGAGTTATATTTATATTGCTGTTGTAATTGGGAAATATTATTTATTCACAGCACAATAGAACATTTATTGCCATTGTTCCTGACACAGTTGAAAGATGAATGTCCTGAAGTTCGATTAAATATCATCTCAAACTTGGACTGTGTAAATGAGGTAGGATAACAGAATATGTTGACAAATTAGTGATACTCTGTTTTATTCATAATTGTCAAATTAAATGTATTAATAATATTTTAAGGGGAAATAAGCATGCTAATATTTTTCAGTTTCCATTTTTTTTTTATCATTTAAAATGCTTAAACTTTAATGCATTGTTTCCAAGAATGACCACTTAAAATATAAATGAAACATTGTATCTTACTTTTACAAAGAAATCTACTAGAATCATTATTAATGTTATACTGATGTATTTAAAAATTCAATGTGATTTAATTTTTTTTCTATTTGAATTGTCTCCCCTGTATTCATTGACAGAGAGTAAAAATGGCTGTGTGTGTGATCTCATGTTTATTTTCTCAATATCTTAGTCTGAATTAAAATGAAAAGCATTTTGTATATTTTTTTTTAGTAATTTGTCTATTTGAACCATCTCTTTTTGACAGATACGGGTATTGTTTCTTTTCCCAGGTCATTGGTATCAAACAGTTATCCCAGAGTTTATTGCCAGCCATTGTAGAACTAGCAGAAGATACCAAATGGAGAGTTAGATTAGCTATCATTGAATACATGCCATTGCTAGCTGGACAGTTGGTAAGTATCATCTTTCATGTAGTCTGAATAAGATATAATAACAAGTTAAAGCAGGTAACAGGATATTTGTCTTTTTGAAAGAAAAAAAAACTTTGAGACTGTTTAACAAATAAATAAAAACAAAAGCTGACATAAACAAGTCCGAGATATCATATTTAAATGTGATATATGAAGTAACTTACAATGGATATATATTATGAAAATAAATAATCCAATGTTTTAATGTTGTATAAATACTATTAAAGAAGTATAAGATTGTAATAGAAATGAGTATTTGATGTTCCTTCTGGAACAGAACTGAAGTTCTTTTGAATTTCATTTTCAAGATTTTTGTGTGTATATTTTATTAAGTCTCCCAAACGAAGTTTGGGAAGACTTATTGTTTTTGCTCAGTTCTTATTATTATTATTATTCTTCTTCTTCTTCTTCTTCCGCCGCTTTTAAATTTGAACTTGTCCGCACCCGTTCTCCAAAACCGCTTGTCAGATTAACTTAGGGTTTCACAATATGTTAGACTAACATGTCTAGTGGTGCAATCAGGGTTTTGTTTGTGCAATGGGGTTTATAAAGGGGTACTTTGAGGGGCAAAAAGAAAAGAGGGTTTTACTATAGAACCCTATGGGATTTTATTTTAAAAAATTTTCAAATGATTATAAATTGAAAACCGTTTGTGATAGACACAATCTTTTTAATTGAAAATGTTCTAAATGATAAAGCCCATTAAATGAAATACAGGGTTAGTCCCCAGGGGTCACCCCCACCCCCTGCCATTTAAAAAAGTTCTAATATCTTGTAAGTGGTCAAGATCCCCACCCCTAAACCATATATATTTTGGTTTGTCATGCTAAGATGGTTTGAATGATATACAGGGTTAGTCCCCAGGGGTCATCCCGACCCCCTGCCATTTGAGAAAGTTCTAATATCTTGTAAATGGTCGAGATTCCCACCCCTAAACCATATATATTCTGGTTTGTCATGATAAAGCACACCAAATGTAATACAGGGTTAGTCCCCAGGGGTCACCCCCACCCCATGCCATTTAAAAAAGTTCTAATATCTTGTAAGTGGTCAAGATCCCCACCCCTAAACCATATATATTTTGGTTTGTCATGCTAAGATGGTTTGAATGATATACAGGGTTAGTCCCCAGGGGTCATCCCGACCCCCTGCCATTTGAGAAAGTTCTAATATCTTGTAAATGGTCGAGATCCCCACCCCTAAACCATATATATTCTGGTTTGTCATGATAAAGCACACCAAATGTAATACAGGGTTAGTCCCCAGGGGTCACCCCCACCCCATGCCATTTAAAAAAGTTCTAATATCTTGTAAGTGGTCAAGATCCCCACCCCTAAACCATATATATTCTGGTTTGTCATGCTAAGATGGTTTGAATGATATACAGGGTTAGTCCCCAGGGGTCATCCCGACCCCCTGCCATTTGAGAAAGTTCTAATATCTTGTAAATGGTCGAGATCCCCACCCCTAAACCATATATATTCTGGTTTCTCATGATAAAGCACATCAAATGAAATACAGTGTGAGTCCCCAGGGGTCACCCCCACCCCATGCCATTTAAAAAAGTTCTAATATCTTGTAAGTGGTCAAGATCCCCACCCCTAAACCATATATATTCTGGTTTGTCATGCGAAGATGGTTTGAATGATATACAGGCTTAGTCCCCAGGGTTCATCCCGACCCCCTGCCATTTGAGAAAGTTCTAATATCTTGTAAATGGTCGAGATCCCCACCCCTAAACCATATATATTCTGGTTTGTCATGATAAAGCACATCAAATGAAATACAGGGTTAGTCTCCATGGGTCACCCCCACCCCCTGCCATTTAAGAAAGTTCTAATATCTTGTAAGTGGTCAAGATCCCCACCCCTAAACCATATATATTCTGGATTGTCATGATAAAGCACATCAATTGTAATACAGGGTTAGTCCCCAGGGGTCACCCCCACCCAATGCCATTTAAAAAAGTTCTAATATCTTGTAAGTGGTCAAGATCCCCACCCCTAAACCATATATATTCTAGTTTGTCATGCTAAGATGGTTTGAATGATATACAGGGTTAGTCCCCAGGGGTCATCCCGACCCCCTGCCATTTGAGAAAGTTCTAATATCTTGTAAATGGTCGAGATCCCCATCCCTAAACCATATATATTCTGGTTTCTCATGATAAAGCACATCAAATGAAATACAGGGTTAGTCCCCAGGGGTCACCCCCACCCCATGCCATTTAAAAAAGTTCTAATATCTTGTAAGTGGTCAAGATCCCCACCCCTAAACCATATATATTCTAGTTTGTCATGCGAAGATGGTTTGAATGATATATGGGGTTAGTCCCCAGGGGTCATCCCAACCCCCCTGCCATTTGAGAAAGTTCTAATATCTTGTAAATGGTCGAGATCCCCACCCCTAAACCATATATATTCTGGTTTGTCATGATAAAGCACATCAAATGAAATACAGGGTTAGTCCCCAGGGGTCACCCCCACCCCCTGCCATTTGAGAAAGTTCTAATATCTTGTAAATGGTCGAGATCCCCACCCCTAAACCATATATATTCTGGTTTGTCATGCAAAGATGATTTGAATGATATACAGGGTTAGTCCCCAGGCATCACTAATGCATATAACTTTGGACCAAACCAATTTTCATTGGACTTTGCCCAATTTCAGGCGACCATGGGAATTACGAATTATGGGAGCTTCGTTTGGGAGACTTCGTAACAGCATCCTGTTACAATCATTTCTTGTTTAATATTTTAGTTGTTCATCTATACAGTTTAGTAAATATTATTTCTTATGATATCATTTAAAAACTATATGATAAAATTAATGACACTTTTCTGAACTTTTTCAGGGAGTAGAATTTTTTGATGAGAAATTAAATTCACTTTGTATGACGTGGCTGGTTGACCATGGTATGTATATATTATCTGTAATTAAACTGAAAGTTAATGTTGTAAAATTATTAGGATTTCTGCTTCTGTTAATTGATGGAAAGTTTCTGTACTAAAAGATTTTTCAGTCTTATTGAAGTATATTTATTTAAAATGTAAGTTTTCAAATTGTTATAATCTTGAACACTGCACCAACATAATACTTTCTCATATACCATATTGTCTCCTCTGAAACATTTACTATACAGTAGATTTTATGAAAAAAGGAGGTTATACAAGGTGTTTGTCATGTCCCTAGCCTAGTTGTACAGGGAACTTTTAAATTGGTTTTTTCTTGTTTTCCTTAATAGATTATTTTGGTTAGAGTTAACATAATGTGTCCCATGTAGGGTAATATGTCTTCCTTGTGAGTAAGCATCTTAAAAATACAATTTAATGTGTCAGTCTAATACAATGTACAACATAAACATTTATTGCCCTGAATATGCATGTAATACTTGCCCTTGGATGTTAAGTTAGCATCAATCAGGCAGTTATATAAGCAATATATTGTCAATGATATGCAATTTATCAATTAATTTGTATGTCAATACAATAGTCTTAGAATGAATAAGAGATATACACTGACTTGGGACTGACTTTTTACTAATGATTATAGATTATCTATGGTTCTGAAAATGAGAGGGAGTTTCTCAGATAAATTTTATCAAAGGAAAATAACCCTGAGATAAGATGTAGCTGCAAACTTTCAGTTTGAGTTTGAGAGACCATAGATAATCTATTTATTGCTGTTTTATAGGCAACTTTAATGACCTTGGGCTCATGACAAGTTTAATTGTACTGAGAAAAACCCATCTCAGTCGAGTAGCGTGAGATGGAAAATTATCGTACAGAAGATCTAAGATTAAGCAAATGGCTATAAAGTAGTCTTACATGGATGTTTTGATACTCTGAATTAATAAGTTGATATACAACAACATAATTGATAGCATATAATTATTTTCATATCAAAGTTTAATTAATTTGATGATTTTTCAGTTTTTGCAATCAGAGATGCAGCTACATTAAATTTAAAGAAACTGGTAGAAAAATTTGGAGTAGACTGGGCACAACAAACAGTTATACCAAAAGTATTACAGATGTCACATGATCAGAATTACTTACACAGGATGACATGTCTTTTCTGTATAAATGTAAGTCAATTTGTCACATGACTTTGCACATGGAATGATTTCTTGTCTTTTCTATCAAAATGTTTATCGGAAATAAAGGAATTATTAGGTTAAAGTCAATGAGATAAGTCAAGATAAAAGGATAAACATAGGTCACTATTCTGTTTGTCCATGTTCTTTGTAAGCACAACTTCTTCCAACTGGCTGAATGAATATTGATAAAACCTTTGTACAGTTTTAAATAACTACGTCAGGATGTGCATAAAGGAATATAATATGATATAGTCTTACATGTTTAAGGGGAGATAATCAAATTTACTTACATTAAAATTCCAATATGTGGTCATAGTATTGCAGGAAGGGGGTATACTTTTGTTAGTTGACTCAAGTTTGAATTTGCCTTGCCTTCTTTTTAGATTTGACTCGCCATCATATAACAAAATAATATATATGTACATGTCATACCATCATCATTGCTTTTAGAATTTTGTTGACAAAGTTATTTATTTATATCTATAAATAACTAATTATCTAATGCTAGAGTCAGGATTTTCAATTAGTGCAAAGATTCGTATGAGTCACACTTGACAACTTTAGCAGTCAAAATAAAAGTAAAGGTTTTGGAGGACACAAAACATGGATATTCAATTGTCTTATTTTTATAATTTAGTTACTGGCAGAAGCTGTAGGACCAGAAATGACAGTTAAACTTATGTTACCCACCATCCTTGGAATGGCAGGTGATAATGTCGCCAATGTTAGATTTAATGTTGCCAAAACTCTACAGAGATTAGGTCCCATCTTTGAGCAGTCGTAAGTATTCTATGAAATATAGTTTGTCATAGTCAGTGACAGTATCTTTTATTAGATAATTAAATTTGTCACAGCAGATAAACAATTATTATGCTGTCAGCAAATTACAGCTAACCTGCATCTTTAAAAGAAAAATTGATTTGATTTGAGTGTGTATGTAAAGAACAGGATCTTTGGTTACTGTGCTTGCAGCTGTTTGATGTGTTTTTATAACACACCCATACTTGTTTTGTTTACCCTTGTACAGCAGAAGAAAATATTGTTTTAAGACAGTATTTGCTCATGCCAAAGTCAATAAATTTTAATTGATATTCTGAAACAATTAAATTTCAATGTTAAATTGTACAAGGATTTTGTTTTGTTTTCTATAGACTTGTACAACAGCAAGTGAAGCCAGCATTAGACAAATTGAAAGCCGATGCAGATATTGATGTACAGTACTATGCTGTAGAAGCTTTAGAAGGTGGGTATACTAGTACTATAGGTCAAATGTGTGCCCCTCTTTTCCATTGTGAATATTTGAACAAAATAGTATTGAGTGAAACTTAGCTAATGTTATGCTTCTCAACCCTTAAAGCTTTAAAGAAGAAATAATCTGAAGTTTTAGGTGAAATCTTGTAAGGTTTATTTATTTTTATTTATTTTTAAGTTCATTTTAAGCATTCTATATAAGATCAAGGAAAAGTAAATAGGGGATTCGTTGATTTTAAGTAAGATGAAACATACAACTTGGACATGTTGGACTAAATCAATAAAGTAAATCATAAACTTAAGTATAATTGGATAAAAATTCTTAACAAAAAGTGCACATGTATATAAATTTGGAATGCGTTTCTGGATTAATCTATCAGGAACGCTCCAACCCAAAAATTTGTGAAAGCCAATGATGTTTAGATACATGAATACTTGAGAAGCTATATGAAGAGAAGGGACCTTCAAAGAAAAGCCATCAACCTTAAATTAACTTTAAGAGTTGGAATAATTAGTATCTTTATAATGAAACAAGTGTATATCTATTGTAAAAATATTCAAATAATTATACATTCAGAAAATAAAAGAGATAAATCCATTAGCTTTCATTAGTTTTAGTTAAAGTTCAATATGCTGATGTTGTACATAAAAATCTGACATCCTCAATTTACTGTTGCTTGACGATAAAAGAAGTTTTATCTTGATGAAAAAGCTGCACAATATCTTGACATCCTCAATTTACTGTTACTTGACGATAAAAGAAGTTTTATCTTGATGAAAAAGCTGCACAATATCTTGACATCCTCAATTTACTGTTACTTGACGATAAAAGAAGTTTTATCTTGATGAAAAAGCTGCACAATATCTTGATTGCCTTTGTTTTATTTTCTGTCTACAAACCTCCCTCAACCCTTTATGATTAGTTATTGACATGACATTGTTTATATACCACATTATTAACAGCTGAAGTGCGACATTCTTTATCATTATCGCTCATTTTAAAATGTCACTTTAGAATATTGTCAAATAGAAGTCTGCTTTTGCAGTTTCTTTTTGTCTTCAATTTTCTTTGAAATACTTTTGTTGTATCTCCAAATCTTGTTTAGGTCAGATTATGTCCGAAAAATCTTTATTGTGGTAAATATGTAATTTCTAGCTTTTATCTTGATTTAAATCTACAGAAAGGAATAGTGCCGAAGAGTTTGATTCATATGATTCAAGCTGAATTTGATACTTCAATAACTTGATATATTCATCCTTATCAAAGCTTGATTAAAAAACAAAATCAGATTCATAGAAACTCATTTTAAATATAGGACTTGCAAAATTTATATATATGTCTATGTTATTGATGAAAATGTGAATTTGAAAGATTCAAGTAAAAGTGATTTCTATTAGACAATTTATCCCAAAACAGTATAACTGATTTCCCATTTTTGGGTCCTGTTTCATTCTCAGTCCATTGTAAAGCCTAATTGGTAAGTGTTCATCTGTAAAACATTACTGGATAACTAGATAAATACCATTCTTGTTGTTTAATATTTATCATCTGATTGTCAATGAGTTTACAAAAACACCACTAAAACAATGTTAGTTTGACATTTTTCCCCCCGAAATTTATTTTTTGTAAATTTTTGAATTTTCCTCATTTCAAAATTTTTGCACCTTCTGTAATTGCAGAATATGTTATAAATTGATCAAATCTTAGCAGAATGTTATGCGATAACGAATGAGTTCATTGTCTAAAGTTAACCAGTATCTGATTGATGGAATGTAAATCCCAGTTTATTTTTCTCACTACCCGAGACTTATTCATGTCAAGGGGATAATCTACTAACCTCACTGTAGCTAGTTTTACACCTCTACATAAACCTAAGTAGTAAATGTCATTCTTAATGTATGGTTTAGAGAACATAGTTCACATAGCATTTTAATCCTGTTCATGTCACTGTTACTATCATTGTACAAGCTTAAATTATCAAAAGCTAAATGTTTGAAATAAATAATTGAACTGAATGTATGTTTTTTTTCAAATTTGTACTTTTGTTGCTGATTTTGTAAATAATAGTCCAGATTACACTGATATTAAGAATGTGAACAGGATTTTACAGTCTCGAACTGCACTTCAATTGTTCCTAAGGAAAATATTCACATAAATTTTATTTCACAAAAATTGTCATATTCTGTGTAATGATTTATAAACAGTAAATGGGAATCCCCAAAATTATTGGATAGCCAACTGCAGCAATCACGTATAGAAGTGACTATAGTAGTCTTCAAACAACAACAAAAAATGTCATGTGATGACATCGTGGTAACCATGTCGATTTTAAAGGGATTTTAGCATTTCCTTGGGAACAACTGAGGCACAATTGATCATATATATTAACTGAACTGCATGCTTCAGATTTCTGTTGCACGAGTAAGGCTATATTCTATTTTGAATAAAATTCAAATTCCCAATTTCATAATTAATTTGCTATGTATGAAGCAGAAAAAAAAGAAGTAATTTTATATTATTTTTGCTTCAATAGGAAAAAAATATAAGAACAAAATATTTAAAATTTATCAGAAATTTATCAGTAAGATTGTCAATATCAAATTGATCAAAAAAAAATTAGAAATTGCGATTTCTTTTTTAAATCAAATCAAATCAATTTTGTTGTCATTAAGCATTTACAGTATGTTTGTCGCAATATAAGTAAAATTATCTATACTTTTATTCTGTAGGCTTTCAATGGAATTGAATGGATGTGCTATTGATCCAATCCAAAATGCATAGAAACAAATTTATTAGTGTGCTCTTTTTTATCTTAATTTAATTTATTAGTGAGCTAGAATTTTTTTTTTTATCAGTTCAAAATGTATTAATCATTTGAAGGAATGTGAAACTCAAAGAATTGAAAACAAATCAAATTTGCATAAATCTACTAGACAGTTTTGAAAAATGAATAAATGAAGAATATTAAATTGCTTTGATATATATTCATAGTCTGTATGACAGTATTTCTCGAAATAGTGCTCAGTTGAATTTTAAAAGTATTGAGTACATATGATCAGTTTGAATAATTATTGAGCTATAATATAAGCAAGTATCAAAAATAATAAAATACTTTTAGTTTGAAATCATTTTTCTGGGAAATTTATAGGGAGTAAAATTCATCATTTTCTCAGACCCACTTCCAACCTTGAATAAAAATAACTAATAATCTTTGGTTTAAAAAAAAAGATGTATTTAAACAGTTTAAACAATATAGATTGACTTCCAACCCTTTATATAATTAGTTATCCTTGAATATTGTTAAGAAAAAATTATCCTAATGGAAAGTTAATGAACATGTTATCAAATAGGCCAAATTCTATGAACATGTCATCAAATAGGCCAAATTCAATGAATATGTCATCAAATAGGCCAAATTCAATGAACATGTCATCAAATAGGCCAAATTCAATGCACTCTAGCTTTACTAAACCATGCCGTCTTTTAATTTATTAAGGTGTTTGTTTATATAAACGAGTACTGCTTTTTACAGATCCTTGCATGCTGGTTGCCTATGGTTTATAAGGTTTGAATGATGCTTTCTTTGCAGTAGTAATAACTCTGGTGTTTGCTGATAATGTGATCATTGATCCTGAGTCATCTCATTGTGATGGCTTAAAATAGTATCCCACAAAACTCTAAACTTTTCACCCTTCTTTCTACTTCTTCTGGATCTGTATAGGGACGTCTGTTCTCTTGATCTTCAGTATAAATTTTTTTCCATAAAGTTGTTGTTCTCAAATGCGACATTTATCTGGGGTCTATAGGTGAAGATATCTTTAGACCTTTCATCTATAAAAATTGACTCAATACTCGAATTACAAAATGCGTGCACGAAAACACCAAATACAGTGTTTTTATTGGTTGATTTTTGTCGAGCCTGCGACTTTTGTCGCAGAAAGCTCGACATAGGGATAGCGATCCGGCGGCGGCGTTAGCTAACTTCTTAAAAGCTTTATATTTTAGAAGATGGAAGACCTGGATGCTCCATACTTTGTATATGGATGCCTCATGTTACGAAGTTTCCGTCAGTCACATGTCCAATGTCCTTGACCTCATTTTCATGGTTCAGTGACTACTTGAAAAAAAAGTTCAGATTTTTTGTAATGTTAAATTCTCTCTTATTATAAGTAATAGGATAACTATATTTGGTATGTGCGTACCTTGCAAGGTCCTCATGCCCGTCAGACAGTTTTCACTTGACCTCGACCTCATTTCATGGATCAGTGAACAAGGTTAAGTTTTCGTGGTCAAGTCCATATCTCAGATACTATAAGCAATAGGTCTAGTATATTCGGTGTATGGAAGGACTGTAAGGTGTACATGTCCAACTGGCAGGTGTCATCTGACCTTGACCTCATTTTCATGGTTCAGTGGTTATAGTTAAGTTTTTATACGACCGCAAAAAAATTTTTGTGGTCGTATATTGGTATGATGTCGGCGTCGTCGTCGTCGTCGTCGTCCGGCGTCGTCGTCCGAATACACATTAGTTTTCGCACTCTAACTTTAGTTTAAGTGAATGGATCTCAATGAAATTTTACCATAAGGTTCAATACCACAAAAGGAAGGTGGGGATTGATTTTGGGGGTTATGGTACTAACAGTTAAGGAATTAGGGGCCAAAAGGGGCCAAAAATAAGCATTTTTGTAACTTCCAGACATAACTTGTGTGTAAGTGTATGGATCTCTCTGACATTGTACCACAAGGTTCCATATCACAAAGGGAATGCTGGGATTGATTTTGGGGGTAATTGCCTCCAAATTTTAGGAATTAGGGGCCAAAAAGGGGCAAAAAACAAGCATTTTTCTAGTTTCATGACAATAACTTGTTTGTAAGTGTATGGATCTTTCTGAAATTGTACTACAAGGTTCCATACCACAAAGGGAAGGCTGGGATTGATTTTGGGGGTTTTCCCTCAAAATTTTAGTAATTAGGGGCCATAAAAGGGCAAAAAAAACATGCATTTTTCTAGTTTCAGGACAATAACTTGTGTGTAAGTGTATGGATCATTATGAAATTGTACTGCAAGGTTCCATATCACAAAGGGAAAGCTGGAATTGAGTTTGGGGGTAATTGCCCTAAACGTTTAGGAATTTGGGGCCAAAAAAGGGGCCAAAAAACAAGCATTTTTCTAGTTTCCAGACAATAACTTGTGTTCAAGTGTATGAATCTCTCTGAAATTGTACTGCAAGGTACCATACCACAAAGGGAAAGCTGGGATTGAGTTTGGGGGTGATGAATCATAAGGGGGTTCAAAAAATTGGGGGGGGGGATTTTTTTTTTCCTTTTTTTTCTTTAACATTTTCCATTTTAAATTGGTATATTTCTGATTTATATATAAAAGCAAATAATAATGATATGGTTTGAATAGGCATACATGTGAACCTCCCGACGGGAGTACAATAATCCCGTTTTCAGGGGTCTCCTCCCGACCTCCCGTTGAAGAGGAAAAAATCCTGTGTATGAAATTTTTCATGAATGAAAAATTTCTGCCCAACATATCATCTCAGGCATCTGGTGTAACTGACATTACCTGAAGTTATATTTTACCTGTAAATCAATTAACATGCATAATTATATGGCTTCACTTGTCAGCTTGGGTGTCAAACATACTGGTAATCAACGATTTTTACCTCAGGCTAATTGCCGTTGTGTAACAAAAACTGTGTATTTATTGGGTTACTTCCCTTGATTTATCCTGTTTTAAGTTACTTTCCTTTTAATAATGAAAATTTTTAAAAGAATATAAATAAAATATAAATTGAACAAATAATCATAAAAGGATGGATATTAAATGATTTTAAATGTCTTAGGACAAATAAAAAAATAATAATTTGAAAATTATTTGAGGATTCTATACTTCCTTTCAAGGCTTAAATTGAAATTTATATAATAACTATGACCCTAATTTTACAGATAGAATGATTTTCTGAGTTTGCAAATAAAAACTATTTGCAAGAGAAAAAAAAAAAAAAATAAAAACTATTTGCAGATAGCTAAACAAATGTTCTGGTTGCAATGATTGTTTTATAGAATATGAAGTAAAAAATTTAAAGAACATACTGAAAAAAAAACAATGTTAGATTGAACATGTAGAATATAAAGATGGAGAAACTTTATAAGTACAAGGGTACTATAAACATAATAAATTGGATGGAAAGTTGAAGAAAGCACACTTTAAAAGACCATTTTTACAGCACACGGTTACATTTACAACAAAATTAATGTCAATTAAAAACCTCCTGATCTGAGTCCTAATCTCCTGACCAAAATTTCCCAATCTCCTGATCTGAGTTTCACAGTCCATCACATGTATGAATAGGTAAATTGAAAATTTTTAAGTTCTTAGACCACTTTCATTCTGTGTGAGAAACCTATGCTGTGTCAAATATTCAATTACAATCCAAATTCAGTGCTGTATCAAGCTTGAATGTTGTGTCCATACTTGCCCCAAATGTTCAGGGTTCGACCTCTGCGGTCGTATCAAGCTGCGCCCCAGCGGAGCATTTTATTGTGTTTTGGTCTGTTTTTCTTATACTGTATGCAATAGGTCTACTATATTAGGTGTATGGAATGATTGTAAGGTGTACATGTCTAGCTGGCAGGTGTCATCTGACCTTGACCTCATTTTCATGGTTCAGTGGTCAAAGTTAAGTTTTTGAGTTTTGGTCTTTTTTTCTAATACTGCATGCAATAGGTCAGCTATATTTGGTGTATGGAATGATTGTAAGGTGTACATGTCTAGCTGGCAGGTGTCATCTTACCTTGACCTCATTTTCATGGTTCAGTGGTCAAAGTTAAGTTTTTGAGTTTTGGTCTTTTTTTCTAATACTATATGCAATAGTTCAACTATATTTGGTGTATGGAAATATTTTATGATCTATATGTCAGTCACGCAGGTTTTATTTGACCTTGACCTCATTTTCAAGGTTCATTGCTCAGTGTTAAGTTTTTGTGTTTTCGTCTGTTTTTCTTAAACTATAAGCAATAGGTCAACTATATTTGTTGTATGGAAGAATTGTTAGCTGTACATGCCTGCCTAGCATGGTTCATCTGACCTTGACCTCATTTTCATGGTTCATTGGTCAATGTTTAGTTTACTTGGTTAATGTGAAGTTTATGTGACAGTTGTAATAAAGCTTTATATTTAGGACTATCAACATAATATCAATGATTAGTAAAGAAGGCGAGACATTTCAGCGTGTGCACTCTTGTTTTAGTCAATATTACTATAGTCATACTTGAAAGGTTTATGACTGTAAGCCCTGCAGTTTAGGTATTCAAGCACCTTCAGTATTGATCTGATTTAATTGAAACTTTTATAGAATCTCTTTATTAACATCAAAATCTTTTTAGAAAGTTTTTTTTTGGAATAAATGACTGTGTGTCTAATTAAAAAAAAACAAATCATATTGAGAACTGTGTACATGACATTTGATTCTGAAAGAAATTTCATTAGGTATGCTGGATACCAGTTGTGGACATGCCAATATATATGAATTATTTGCCCTTATCATTAATGTTTCTAAATGGATTTTTTCAAAATTTAAAATAGATATTTTCACATAAGTATCTCAGTTATTTTTTTTTATTTAAAACTGTGAATACATATGAATATTAGTATGAAAATATACATATGAAGTATGCCCTTAAATTTTATTGAAAACATCAAAATCCCAAAGCTGTCCTATCTGTTCAAAGTTAGAATTTTATAAAAGAGATGTGTTTCTTCGAAATTGGCAAGAATGCAGTGTAAGCATGGGAGCAGACATTTGAACAATTTTTTTTTTTTTTTGTTGTTAGATAATCCCTAAACACTTGTAAAATGAGATATGTTATTGTCCACAATTGTAGTTCAGTTTAACACTCTGTTGATTGCAGTTGAACCTTCATTGGTGAGTGTGAATTTGAAAATTTTTTTTAAAAAATTACCTAAAAACTCTTGGTATAAAAATTAGCTGAAATTTTCACTTTTAATTAAAGATTTTGCTTAATTTTGTATGATACTGGTGATTTATTTATTTATTTCGCCAATTTAGCATTTTAAAATCTAGGTCTTTCAAATAATGGAAATGTAATTTGCAAGTTCAAAATAGTCGTTAGGTTAAAAAATGAATTTTTAGTTCATTTACCAAACTTTCCTTTGAAATATCGTTTTTTTTTCTAGATAAAACTGCTTAGTGTTGTTTGTATGTACAGTAGCTTTCTATGTATGTCTCTTTTACTGAGTATAAACATCCTTTCACAAACATGGTAAATGTTAGCTATTTGTTGGGGTACTTGTCTATTTTTATGTTTGTATGTTTGTATGTTTTAGTTGCTGCTCAATGAAAGATTACTGGAGATCATCACATCCAGTTTTTTTAAATTTACCAGCTTAAAATTTATTTTGCAGTCACTTAATCATCTCTTTATTTTCCATGCCTGGCCAAATTGACCATAAGAGCAATTGACATCACTGCTCTATAAAAAAAATCATCTCTTCTGAAGCCCCTGGTCAATTTGAATAAAATTGATCTGATTCAACTCAAGGATGTCCAGTTTCAAAATTTGAATTTTTTTCGAAAGTAGTGGAATGTTATGGATGACTAATTACATTTTCTTAATTATGACCTTTTTATTTTCTGAAAACGTAAATATTTTGGTACAGAATTAACCGCAAATTGATTGAATTTTAATGAAAGTATTTCAGATTTATGGTTCATTATTATCTGAAAAATCCTCACAGTTTTGGTTCTGAATTATAAAGAGAGAATTGTCCAACAAGATGGATATTTATAGAATAACTAATCGAAGAATTCAAATAGAGAAAAATATTCAACGAGTATCCGAACAACACATTAATTCACGAATGCGCGTAGCGCATGAGTTAATTATCAGTGTTGTTCGGTCACGAGTTGAATATTTTTCGATATTTGAATTCTTTGATTAGTTATTCTTTTTATTACATTGGCAAATGGCTTTTTTTAATGAAATTAATGTAGAAAATGTAAGGAACTATATCTTTTTTCTACGCATTCACAATTTGTTTTGATCCGACGTTATCGACGTCTTGACAACGCCTATTGTTGTATGACGTCAGAGAGTGAAATAACCACGTTTATTTCACATGTGAAATTATCGGTTTTTATTTGACTGGGAAATCAATGTAATTCATTGCTACCAATGTAATAAAATATTATAAACCACAAAATACAGGTCAAATTTATATTTTTTGCAAATTTAGCTTATAACATTTAAAAATAATGAACCTTATTTTCTGAAAATTTGTTAATATCTTTGATTTCTTGATTATATAGTGAGAACTGTCGACCAAATTGACTGAAATTTTAATGTAATTTTATTGACTTCAAAATACAGGTCGTGTTTAATTTTTAGCTCACCTGACCTGAAAGGTCAAGTGAGCTTTTCTCATCACTTTGCGTCCGTCGTCCGTCGTCCTGCGTCCGTCGTCCGTAAACTTTTACAAAAATCTTCTCCTCTGAAACTACTGGGCCAAATTTAACCAAACTTGGCCACAATCATCATTGGGGTATCTAGTTTTAAAAATGTGTGGCGTGACCCGGTCAACCAACCAAGATGGCCGCCACGGCTAAAAATAGAACATAGGGGTAAAATGCAGTTTTTAGCTTATAACTCAAAAACCAAAGCATTAAGAACAAATCTGACATGGGGTAAAATTGTTCATCAGGTCAAGATCTATCTGCCCTGAAATTTTCAGATGAATCGGACAACCCGTTATTGGGTTGCTGCCCCTGAATTGGTAATTTTAAGGAAATTTTGCTGTTTTTGGTTATTATCTTGAATATTATTATAGATAGAGATAAACTGTAAACAGCAATAATGTTCAGCAAAGTAAGATTTACAAATAAGTCAATATAACCGAAATGGTCAGTTGACCCCTTTAGGAGTAATTGCCCTTTATAGTCAATTTTTAACCATTTTTCGTAAATCTTAGTAATCTTTTACAAAAATCTTCTCCTCTGAAACAACTGGGCCAAATTAAACCAAACTTGGCCACAATCATCATTGGGGTATCTAGTTTAAAAAATGTGTGGCTTGACCCGGCCAACCAACCAAGATGGCAGCCACAGCTAAAAATAAAACATAGGGGTAAAATGCAGTTTTTGGCTTATAACTCAAAAACCAAAGCATTTAGAGCAAATCTGACATGAAGTAAAATTGTTAATCAGGTCAAGATCTATCTGCCCTGAAATTTTCAGATGAATCGAACAACCTGTTGTTGGGTTGCTGCCCCTGAATTGGTAATTTTAAGGAAATTTTGCTGTTTTTGGTTATTATCTTGAATATTATTATAGATAGAGATAAACTGTAAACAGCAATAATGTTCAGCAAAGTAAGATTAACAAATAAGTCAACATGACTGAAATGGTCAGTTGACCCCTTTAGGAGTTATTGCCCTTTATAGTCAATTTTTAACAATTTTTCGTAAATCTTAGTAATCTTTTACAAAAATCTTCTCCTCTGAAACTCCGTGGCCAAATTAAACCAAACTTGGCCACAATCATCATTTGGTTATCTAGTTTTAAAAATGTGTGGCGTGACCTGGTCAACCAACCAAGATGGCCGCCACGGCTAAAAATAGAACATAGGGGTCAAATTCAGTTTTTGGCTTTTAACTCAAAAACCAACGCATTTAAAGCAAATCTGACATGAAGTAAAATTGTTTATCAGGTCAAGATCTATCTGCCCTGAAATTTTCAGATGAATCGGACAACCCGTTATTTGGTTGCTGCCCCTGAATTGGTAATTTTAAGGAAATTTTGCTGTTTTTGGTTATTATCTTGAATATTATTATAGATAGAGATAAACTGTAAACAGCAATAATGTTCAGCAAAGTAAGATTTACAAATATGTCAATATAACCGAAATTGTCAGTTGACCCCTTTAGGAGTTATTGCCCTTTATAGTCAATTTTTAACAATTTTTCGTAAATCTTAGTAATCTTTTACAAAAATCTTCTCCTCTGAAACAACTGGGCCAAATTAAACCAAAGTTGGCCACAATCATCATTTGGTTATCTAGTTTTGAAAATGTGTGGCGTGACCTGGTCAACCAACCAAGATGGCCGCCACGGCTAAAAATAGAACATAGGGGTAAAATTGAGTTTTTGGCTTTTAACTCAAAAACCAAAGCATTTAAAGCAAATCTGACATGAAGTAAAATTGTTTATCAGGTCAAGATCTATCTGCCCTGAAATTTTCAGATGAATCGGACAACCCGTTGGTGGGTTGCTGCCCCTGAATTGGTAATTTTAAGGTGATTTTGCTGTTTTTGGTTATTATCTTGAATATTATTATAGATAGAGATAAACTGTAAAAAACAATAAATGTCGGCAAAGTAAGATCTACAAATAAGTCAACATGACCGAAATTGTCAGTTGACCCCTTTAGGAGTTATTGCCCTTTATAGTCAATTTTTAACCATTTTTTCGTAAATCTTAGTAATCTTTTACAAAAATCTTCTCCTCTGAAACTACTGGGCCAAGTTAATTATAGATAGAGATAATTGTAAGCAGGAAAAATGTTCAGTAAATTAAGATGTACAAACACATCACCATCACCAAAACACAATTTTGTCATGAATCCATCTGCGTCCTTTGTTTAATATTCACATAGACCAAGGTGAGCGACACAGGCTCTTTAGAGCCTCTAGTTTTGCTGATTTTACTTTTAGCCTTGAGTCGAGAGAAATTTTCCTTTTTTTCAAGAAAAAAAAATTGTTAATATTTATCAGCAACTTTGAGAAGGATTTTGAAAGAGCAAATAACTCATACAGACTTCTGACCATAGACAAAAAAAGCTGCAACTGCAAACACAAATAGGATGGAGGTGGCATCAGTGATCATGTGATCAAATTCATGGAGTTTATTTTTTTAACCAGTGAACCTATGAAAAATATTAATCTTTTATAAGAAGTATATTATTTGAATTTCTAATTTAACATATTTAGAAAGTAACTTGTTGAAGACCTAAAAAAATAAGCAATGCAAAACAGACAAGTTATTGTTTTATATATTGTATGTCTTGTGATTTTAAAAGGACTGGAATGGGAGAAAATTAAAATATCAAAAATTAACAGAACTTGGTTTATCTAATTATTTGGTTTTTTTTCCAGCAAACAGGACATTCTATTTTAGGAAATTTGCATAAATGATTGTATAAAGGGGTAAAAATTCACTTCATTCAAAGATTTATTGTGGTTATATCTTTAATTCTAGCTTCTAAGATTTACATAAAGAGAAAGTATCATTTACAAGTCTATTTACGATGTTAGCAGCCATGTCCTTTACCATATATATATAGTACAAACAAGTTAATATGGCAACTTATGTATAATGATTTTGATGATATTTATTATATTTCAGCACTGAAAATAAGTTAAAAGATATTCGTTGTAATGTTGCAGAGGTAAGGAATAGTGATATTTCACTAGAACTTAACAAAAAAAAAGAAAAGCAAAGACTGGCGAGCTGAGAGTCAGAATAATGTGTCATAGTATGTTAAAATATCTTCCGGAGTAATAATAACTTGTGAACTTGCAATTTAAAAGTAAGGATTAGGTATTAAGTACGGTATGACAGTTTAAACAAAGCAGGCCTGCAGGCGAGGGTATCTTAATATGACTTGAACTTGTAAAGGTCTTGAATATGCTGGTGATATTTGCAATTGGACAAGTTGTGATCAATCAATTAGCAATCAATGATTCAATACATAAGTCCACAGTGAAAGCAATATAGAATTAAGGATATGATTGTCAGTGAGACAACTATCCACCAGAGTTCAAATAATGTGGATTTAAGCAATAAAATGTCCCTGTATGGCCTTCAACAATGGGCAAAACCCATTCAGTATAGTCTGCAATAAAAGTCCCCAAAATGAAAATATGTGAAACAATTCAAACAAATTATGGCAAACGATACACAAAAACCAAAATAACAGACAGCAACCAATGATATCCACTGAATATTAGGCTACTTACTTGGGACAGGCACATACAGAATTTGGCAGGGTTTAACATAGTCAATTATGTATTATCCAAGCTAGCCAGACTTAGACATGCTCAGGCCTTGGTGGTGTCAACAATATACTTTAAATTCATTTATTTGTGGGTACCAATTTTCATAGACTGAAGAAACTTTGAATTTTTGAAGATATTTGATTTTGTGGTTTTTCATCAGTCTGCATACAAGCTTATAGAAAATTTGTACTTTTTTATTCATGGATTTCATAGATCTTGTGGGTAAAGGTAAACCATGAAAATGTTCAATGAAGTACAAATTTACTATAGAAAAAAAATGAAAACAACACTTTATAAATTTCATGGGTCCAACGTGTCTATAGGTTTTTATGTAGAAAAACCATGAAATCAAATATCCACAAAAGTACAATTATTCCTCAATCCATATGAAAATTGGGATCTGCTGTATGTACATCATAAAACCTATCACAAGTGTCTTACGGTCACATGACATTTGATGTAATTTCTGTTCAATTATTCAAATTCATTGCCCAAATATTGCAAGCATACTTTTGTTTCTCTGTATATTTTTTTTTGAGGTTCACACATAAGCTGGTTGGTGAGGCTTTTCAGTATGCACTAACATGCTTACACTAAAAAATGATGTTACAACTATAATCCACATGTATCTAATCAGATGGAAATTGATATTTGTTTTGTTTTCTGTTTTTTAGGTCTATATATATATATATGATGTTACCCTGAGCTGTGGACTGATATTTGTTCTTTTTCTGTTTTTTAGGTCTATATATATATGTGATGTTACCCTGTGCTATGGACTGTGAACACTTCTAGAACAATTTGTGTTATCAGCACTTTAATGAACAAAACAATTCATAATATTTTAATGTTATCTGTTTAGTATAGTGAATGGACATATTTTGTGAATTTTCAATACAGGAATTGACAATAAGTTAAAATCAATTTGAATTTTATTTTTAACCCTATTTTTTAATTGTTTTATGTTTATTCAAGTCTAAATTACTTCATTATATTTACTGTGAGGATCATAGGCAGAAATTTCCTGCATGTACAATTAACAGTCATATTCTGATTAACAAAATGTTGATACTTGATATATAATTATCAGAGTCCAACACAGAATTGATCTTCTTATTTTTCTATGTTGTGTGATTCAGCCATTATTTTAGTGCTTCATACAAGATGTAATTAAAAATCCATGCTTCTGCAGACAGTTTACCAGAGACTTGCTCAATACTTGGGTCAATATCAGTACAAGCATATTCTAAGTTTAACAAAATTTGATTAAATATATATTTGTTGTATTAAAGTATATAAAGCTGTTTAATTAAAACATGAATCTACAGACTGAATCATGAATCATACAACTCATACTTACAAAAAATTTACATAGTTATTTATTTGACAGTATGTAGACATTGAGAGCTATTAAATATTGATTTATATAACAATGCTTCTGTGTTTTTTTAACCAAGCCCATACTAAGGAACACACTAATCAGTCAGTGGGGAAGTACATAAAATTAACACTTTATAGAATAAAAAAAGTTGTAAATCCTTAACATATCCTATTCCAAAATAAAGTCAATTGATTATTTGGAGTATACATTAGTGTATGTTTTTTTTTGTCTTGCCTGTGATATAAGACGCAGAATACAAGACATGGGGATTACTATCTTGCTGCAGCATAAACTATTTGTTTAAAGCTTTATATTTCAGAGGGTTGAAGACTTGGATGCCTCATACCTTGTATGCAAATGCCTTATGTATCAAAGCTTTTGTCTGTCCTTATTTTCATGGTTCAGTGACTACTTTAAAAAAATGTATAGTTTTTTCGTCATTTGACATACTTACTTAGTATGAGTAAAAGGATAAATTTATTTGGTAGAAAGGATCCTTGCAAGGTCTACATGTCCGTCAGATAGGGTTCACTTGTCCTTGACCTATTTCTCCTATACTTTAAGCAATAGGGCTACTATATTTGGTGTATGGAATGATGGTAAGTTGTACATGTCTGTCTTGGCAGGTTTCATCTGAACTTGACCTCATTTCATGGTTCATTGGTCAATGTTAAGTTTTCGTAATTAGGTCTGTTTCTTCGATACTTTTAGCGATAGGCTACCTATATTTGGTGCATGGTATGATTGTAAAATGTAAAACATATTTGTCTGGCATGATTCATCTGACATTTGACTTCATTTACATGGATCATTGATAATGTTAAGTTTATGTGATGCTTGTATTAAAACCCTCATATTAAAGACTTTCAACATAAGTTCAATTATAAGTAAAGCAGGCAACCATATCAGGGTGTACACTTTTGTGTTTGTTGTGGAAGACTGTACATTGCCCTCAAGTTTTTTACAGTTTTGGTGGATAGTTGCCCACAGGCAATTATACTACATCTCCTTATTTTAATGTCCAGACTTTTGAAATAACTAAAAATGATTTGGTTTTTATAAAAACCGCAAAAATTATTTTGGGATCGTATAATGGTATGATGTCTGCGACGTCGTTCGAAGGCACATTTGGTTTCCGGACAATAACTTTAGTTTAAGTGAATGAATCTTTATGAAATATTTTAAGAAGGTTCAATACCACAAAAGGAAGGTTCGGATTCATTTTGGGGATGATGGTCCCAACCGTTTAAAAATTAGGGGCCCAAAACAAGCATTTTTCTAGTTTCAGGATAATAACTTGTGTATAAGTATTTTGATTGCTCTGAAATTGTACCACAATGTTTAATACCACAAGTAGAAGGTTGGGATTCATTTTGGGGGTTATGGTGCCAACAGTTTAGGAATAAAGGGCCAAAAAAGCATTTTTGTAGTTTCCAGACAACAACTTGTGTGTGAGTTTATGGATCTCTCTTACATTGTACCACAAGGTTCCATATCACAAAGAGAAGTCTGGGAATGAGTTTGGGGGTAATTGCAGGAAAAAGGGGCCAAATTCAAGCATTTTTCTAGTTTCAAGGCAATAACTTGTGTTTAAGTGAATGGATCTCTCTAAAATTGTACTACAAGGTTCCATAAATCAAAAGAAAGGCTGGGATTGAGTTTGGGAGTAATTGATCAAAGGAGGGATTCAAAAATATTTTTTCCAATTTTTTAAGGGGTTCATATTTTTTTTTCAAAATTTTTCAAATTTAAAATTTTTGAAAAGTTTCAAGAAGAAAGAAGAAACCTTCAGTTGCACAGTATTGCGCAATAGATTTGTAAGATCTTTGACCACATTTATTTTGTGTCAGAAACCTATACATCACAATCCAAATTCAGACAGTATCATGCTTAAATATTATGTTTAAATTTGCCCCAACTGTTCAGGGTTCGACCTCTGCGGTTGTATCAGGCTGCGCTCAGCGAAGCATTTTATTATCATGTTTAATTACATAGTTGTCTTTCTCACTCAGGGTGATGAGACAAAACACTAAATTTTCGAGAAATTAATGTGTGCATTTATTATTGCGAATCAATGATTACTGGTAAAAATGTGAGTTCTTATTAATGCGATAGCAAAAATTTTGTGAAGGAAAATCCTCTACTTATGGTCAAATGGTACAGTAAATGGGCTTTGTCACAGATTTTGGTAAAAAAATTCAAACAACTTTGGCTCTTTGAACTACGACAGAAAATCGAAATAATGCATTTATCTCTTTTAATATTTCAGATAATGAAATTTATTATCTGAAATATTACTGATGGAAATCTTAATTTTAAATTCATAGATTTTTCTTTAAAAATGATAATTTAAAACGTAAAACATCAATTTTTCACGCGTTTTACTGCCAACTAGTTAACAGATTGGTTAATGAAACAAAAACAAAGCAGTGACCATATGATCACTTTATATTAAAACGGAATTTTATGTATAAAAAACATATAATTTTTAAAGAAAATCTATGGATTTGAAATTAGAGATTTGGGAATTTTAGACAAATTCAAAAACGTTTTTCGCCGACTTTTATATGGTTTCTTTACAAGTTTACACATATTTTGATATAGTTCAATCAGTAATATTTTATAGAATAAAAGAGTTAAAAAAAAATGCATTATTTTTTTCAAATTTCTGTTAAAGTTCAACAAGCTTAAGTTGTATGCAAAATTTTACAAAATCTGTGACATAGCCCATTAACTGTCCCTTGACGTTAAATTATGAATGAGAGATTTTATCATTGGGAACCTGATGCTGTCACATTTCTCCCATTAATAAAATCATCACAATAATTTCTGAATTTACAGAAGCTTTTTTATTGTAAATTACATTATATCAACAGTTTGATAAGGGAATCTGGGAACTGATATCGATAATACAGGTAACCCAACAACAATTACATGAAATCCTAAAGAATCATATATCTGTATATTCCTTTGGAAATTCAACCGGTGATTAAATGGATCTTTTTTTTATTTTACTGGATATCCAAATGACATACATGTCCTTACAATGTCGTTTTACTGGGTCGGCAAAATGCCCAAAAAAACTTCTTTCCATGTTCCTAACATCTATTGTATCAGCAACCAAAACCTGGTTTAAATGTTACAATAAAATTGCCTCCTATTGGTCAAACTGTCTCGAATGTCAACACAAAAACAAACAATAGATGTAAGAAGTAGATGCAATGTCGCTTTGCTTTCTTCGTGCAATAGTATAAAATCATTCGACTTCTCCATCCTTTACACAGGTATTCTCCATTCTTAACTTAAATACAGATTGAAAGAATAAGCCGAACTTTGTTTCATGAAAAAAATGACGAAGATTCTAATTTCTTATGAAGTATATATCTTCCAGTTAATACCGTATCCCAGGGCTTATTTTCCCTTTCAAAAAAATTGTACAGGCACCATCACGAGTTGAGTCCGAGTTGCATGACCATTATGAGATATCTGTTTTCCTATTGTAACCACAATCCTGTCCTCTTTTCCACAATTGTGACATCACTAAATGAGACTTACAAGTCATCAAATATGTATCCACCTGACCACTAGAAACATGACAGTTGCTATTAGTGGAGCAGGATATGCTTACCCTTCCAGCGCACATGAGATCACCCCCAGTTTGTGATGGGGTTAATGTTGCTCAGTCTTTTGTTTTCTATGTAATGTTGTCTTTCGTATTTTGCCATGGCGTCAGTTTTTCTTTTTTTTCTTCAAATTATAAGTTTTGAATGCCTCCTTTGTATATTCCGTGGCTTTGTTTTCCTGTTTAGGAAGTCAGGAAAATCGTAATACTTTGAAAAACTTATCTCATTTAAACAAAAGTTCTGTAAAACTATCATAACCAATATGCTGGACATTTTTTTCAAGAGAGAGGAAATTCCCTTGAAACCAGCTGTGCCCTTTTTTTGTCAATTTTACTTTATTTAAAATATCATAGCCATTGGAGCAAAAAAAAATCAATATTATAACACAATGTTTACTCAAATACAACTAGTTTGAATTAATTTGAACACCTTTCCATTGCATTATTGAAATGACTCTATAGCTTTTTGGTATACAGTTAAATCTATATATAATCTTGGACCAATATAAGAACATTTTACATTTTCTTGTAAAGTCGAACATCTTTCCAATTCATAATACAACCATCACATGATTCCTATATGATTTGAAAATAAAGATAAGAAGATGTGATATTATTGCCTATAAGACAACTATGCACCAAAGGACAAGGTACGGCCTTTGCCAATGATCAAACATTGAAACAAGCTGTAAAAGGTTATCAGGATGACGAAATATTAAAGAATTCAAATGGCCTGATATATGCTAAAACAATAAAAGAAAAACGATTATTACAGACAACCATAGGATTGCACTAGTCTTCCAATCGTTTATATCACAGCCTTTTAACTATATGCACACCTTATATTTCACATAAATTGAAGAATAAACTTATAGTATTATTGGCTATTATTAAGGTCAAAGTCATATGAAAAATTGCTGATTGATGTTGACCAATGATTGCACGTATGCTTTTATTACAATTATGCATACCCAATATTATTGCTATATATTTTTTTAACTACTCATTAAATGTGATAAAATAATTTTAATATAATTCAAATATTTGAATATAAATACAAACATTTAAATTCTAAATACAAATATTTTAATTCTAAATACAAATATTTAGAATATTAAAAACAATATTCGAATCCTCTAAAGAAAATAGTATTTTTGAATATGCACCATGCACAATCTTTGATCGTCCACCTTGCTATTGTTTATAAAATTCGCTAATATTTATGAAGGATATGTCAAATACATATAATATTTTTCCCTCGTAATGTTTTTTTATTGGAGCCGGATCGACTTTAAATGTGGACCGAATCGACTGAGACCGGAACGACTTGGGACGGATCGACATGAAAGCTTTTGAGGTGGCCAATTAATATTAGTGGAGGAAGCCCGAATGCCCGGAGAGAGCCACCGATCTTCGACAGACAGAAAAAC